ATGCATATATAGAATAAATTTCTTATATGTTGTATAATTCCTGGGACAGTGCACAGTTCACCATCCCTGGGATAGTAAACAGAAGGAGGTGGAGGAATGTTTATTGCTATTGAAATGGTGATGTATAGTGGTTCTATTTATTTGTTAAACTAAAGTGTACTTTGGTGGCTGCCTTGCTTCTGTGCTGATGTAACCTAATGATTGAACTTAAAATTTGAATTTATGCATTGATACTTTTCATAGATGTGGTTTTTTTTTAATACAATGGGACATTTCTGACATCATAATGTTTGTGCTACTTTTTGTTTTCTGGGGGTAAGGAAAAGTTGAGCAGAGAGAGATAACCCACATTTCTCAAAGAATAGAGGTTAAAGGTGTGTGTGTGTGTGTAGCACTCAGGTCAGTGTCCATTGTTGTCTATGACAACACTTAATAGACTGAAGCTGTGCAGTCCACGCCCACCAGCTCTGTCCTCTGGGGCAGGTCCTGAGGTCCCTCAGCTACTGGCTGCCTGACTGGCTTCTTTCTCCTGCTGTCATTAGACTTCCCAGATGCAGTCACCTGCCTTCGTGGATCTGGGAGGCTGCATCTTCTGACTTTCAGAGTTTGACTCTAGCTCTTTACTACTGTGGTCAGCTTTGTCTTCTTTAGAACTCTGTCACTACACTTCATAGAACTTCTGGGACCCTTTCTCACAAGCTTGTTTGGAATTAAACTGTGAAATATCTGGATTGATGTTAAGATAATGTCTACTTGGCCATCTACCCCTTTGGCCCCAAACCCACCAATTTTAAGTTGCTTGCAAAGTTCACTAATACCACTAAAACCTCAGAGATATGAAGTTTAATTTTTGTACAGTTTGCTTGACCTGTTTTAAGAAAAGTTTAAAGTTCAAACTTAAGTTTTTTCTGGCACTTGAAGACGGTTTCATCCTGAGACTTACCGAGGAAGAATAATTGAATTCAAGTGTTTTGCCTTGATTTGTTTGTTTAATAATACATGTATGAATGATCCTTCTAGATCTTCATAAACTCTCAGGAAAAGATGGCTTATGTCCTAGTCTTATCTGGATTATGGGTCTCCTGGAGATTTTTTTTATTTTTGATGGACTGAGAGTTCTTGTATTTAAAGAACGTCTTTGGGTTGTTGATATTGTACAGTGAACCATCTTGGTGTTACATGGGTTCTGTATACTTTCACCATTTCTTCTTTATGCCCCAAGTTTTTTGTTCTGGTAACAGGGATTTCCCATCCTGTTCTACTAGATCCATGCCCATTCCTAGAAGAATTGCAATAATATACAAATGCAACAGCATGTAGGTGTTGACTACAGATACCAGTGTAACACTTAGTCCAGCGATCTAAATTTTCATCAGTTTTAGATGCAGGGATTTAATTCTTTAGTTACATTTACAGTCCCAGTTCCTAGAAGAAAAAGAATGACTTCCTCCGCTAGAGAGATAGCCCATTACTAGTACCCCTTCTGGTGGGATGCAGTGTCTGTGACAGAGGACAGTATCTTTTACAGAATTTCCAAAAAGACCAGTGGGTCAGTCAGAACAATTTCCACTTGTCATTACTTTTACATCCTCAGAGAACCCAAGATTCCATTCTGGGTGCTATGACTTGGTCTCTTTCAAAGCTTTGGAGCATAGAACGGGGGTCATTAAGAGGTATCATGGAGAACATGGTTTATCGCTCTTGCCTTTCCAACCCCAGGTCTATAAATCAGTGTGGCACTCCATTAGACTATCATGAGTCAGTGGACCTTGGCAGTAGTCACCTCTAAGCCCTTCCCTATTGACCTAAAAATTTGTCGTCAGTATTTCTAAACCTTTCCTTAAAGCCTTGTATCACATTTTTATCTTCATTTTTATAATATTTTCACTATGACACCCCCCTCCCGCCTCTTATCCCTGGAAACACGGCTTCAGTGCTCAGGCTGTGGAACTTTATTAGGTCATGTTCTTTTACATGAACTATCTGGATTCACTAGAGCAGCAACGGGGATTGCCTAAGATTATATAGCAGATCACTCCATAACATTGTGTTTTACATTTTCCCAATAGGTTGACTATCCAGTCATTTTATTACAGTCAACACCCTGCTCCCTCCCCCTGGGCTGTTTGATTCTTGTCCTTAGTAACTTTGGGAAGGAGGTCATAACCTTGACATGGGGCCAGACTAAGCTCATAGAATTCTCTTGTCCATTTCTTATGTAGAATTAGGCTCTTATGGGGCCAAGCACTTTCAAACATTTGGTTATTTTCCATGTATTATTTCGGAAGTGTGTACACAAATACTTTGTGTACATGGGTGCCATGATGTGTGCTTGGAGGTCAGAAGATAGTTTGTTGGAGTCAGTTCTTTCCAGCATGTGCCTGCCAGGAATCAAACTCAGGGTGCCAGGTTTGGTGGCAAACATCTTTTTCGGCTGAATTCAGGTATTTATGACCTGTTGCTATATTGAGATAGTCTTTATTAGATGTTTATATGATTGCTGCACTATCCTGTCACTTGGTAGATTTACTTCTTCAGCTAAATTTGGCCAGTAAATATTATCCATAAGTCTTTTTCAAGTCTTGCCCAAGCCTAGGTTTGCTAAGCACCTGAAGTGAGTGCTGATAATGTTTTTGGTTTTTAGAAAGTAATCCTGTGTCTCATTTTCCTATCCATACACAGCCTCTGATGAAGACACTTAAAGAGGAAAGTAGTCTAGGGGTCATGATAGAAGGGCTTTGAGCTTCAATATATATTCAGCATAGTAAGCTAACGAGAGGAGGGACAGAATGGAGCAGTTCCAATAAGAAGTGGCTTAGGCTTGTGGTCCCCATCACTCAGGGTTCTGGGGTGGCAGGATCATGTGGGCACCTGTTTTTGAGTTAGAGACTCAACTAGGGCAACATTAGACAGACTTCACCCCAAAAAGGAAAAAAGTGAACTGTTAACTGATGTCCCAGAGAAAAATCAAGGTTCTTGTAAAGTAGAAGTGAGTGCAGAGGAACTAGGTATGGTGGAGCTAGGAAGAATTTGAAGTGGGAGATGGGTACCACAAGGAACACGAGGATCTCTTGCAGGTGAGTACAGGGCTGGGGGAACCTGTAGTGAAAGTCTTGACAGGAGATTGTGTCAGCTGAGAAGTGGGCGAGCATCCACATTGGGAAAAATTATAGGAAAGTTAAAATAGGGTAGGCTAGCCTGAGAAAGAAGGTATATGGGAGGCTAGAAGTGATAACGGGCAAAGCATGGGTGCTCAAAAACTAAGAGTGTGATTAGGGTTGCTCTGGCATAAGGAACTTACATATTCTTGTACTGTATGGTACATATTCTTGGGCTGTTTAGGCACTGGAAAACACTATGAAAAATTCCTTTCCTGACCTATGGCTAAAGTGTGGTTCCTTGTTCTCTCTCTCTCTCTCTTGCTCCAGGTGCATATATGTGTGTATTATGTTTATATATGTGTGCATGTGTGTTACATGTATGTTTGTGAGGGGACAGCTTACAGAAGCTATTTTTCTCCTTCCACCCTGTGGCTTCAGGTGCTTGATCTCAAGTTGTCAACTCAGTGGCATGTACTGTTAGCCACTAAGCCTTCTCACTGGCCCAAAGTTTCCTCCTCCTAATGTGTGTGTGTTTTGTCTGAATGTCTGTCTGTACCACCTGTGTGTAGTGCCTGTGGAAGCCAGAAGAGAGCATAGAATTTCCTTGACTGGAGTTACAGACGGTTGTGAGCTGCCATGTGGGTGTTGGGAATGAAAGCCAGGTCCTATGAAAGAGCAGTGCTTTTTAACTACCAAGTCATCCTCCGGCTCCAGGTTCTCTGCTCTTGATAGTAGAGGTCTGGTCACTGGTCACCAGTAATTGAAAATGATTTCTGCTGCATGGCTCTCAACATGCTGAGACTTCTCTCCTGCTCTGCAGTCCAGCTTCTGAATCCCATGCCACTCTAAGTTGGTGGTCTTAAAGCTTCAGCTTCAGTTGCACACGGGACTCATCTTTTAAAAGGACAGGTTCTCTCTTGGCAATAACCTGATTTAACTGGTGTGTCCCGGATGTAAATGCTATCAACAGCTCCTTCAGCGTTTTGGCCTGTGCTAGGTGTTTCAGGTGAGAGTACCAACCCCTCCCAATGATGGGTCATTCATGTTTAGAGCTATTTACCAGAGCAGTATTATAGGTGTTGCTAAGTACATGGACTTTGCAGTCAAGTAACCCTTGTGTTATTTAGAATCCTCAACTTCCTAGTATGTCAGTTCATAATAACACTAGCAGAAGAGATGATGGGAGAGTCAGATAACCTTAGCAGGATGACTGTCACGTACATGAACTCAACAAATATCCATTGATGATGTTAATATTTTTGTGATTGTACTAACACTTAATAATAAGAAAAATCTATTTTTCTGTAGGCCCATGCAAGTTTAACGTAATTCCTCTGCACATTGTTCTTTTATCAGTACATGGCTTAATGAAGATGGATTTCAGGGTATCTTACTTTAACCCATAAGAAGCAAAGCTTAGTGGTTGTTGGTGTCAAGTATCAGGGTCTGGTGGTGAAGGATAGCAAGGGTTACTTGTAAATATTTCACTTAATTTAAATTTGTTTGGTAAAGTGGAGCTGCAGAATGGCTGTGTCAGAATCTGTAGATTTCGTTCACTTGATGAGGATACTGAACTATGATTCTTTATCATTCTTACAGGGAACTGCCTCATAGTTTACTTATATCCCCTCGCCCCAGACTGTTTATGCACACCTCTGTAGTACTTAGGCCATTTAGATTTTGTTTTAGATGTCTTTAAAGAGACATATTGTGCCTGTCATTTACCCTGACTTGTCCTTAGTGAGTGCTTACCCCGTCTTTCTAGTGAGCTGTCTGCCCTTCTGCAAGGTGATGGTTGAGAGGTAAAATCTTAAATGGACATTAACATACTCGCATTACAAGCAGTGAAGTTTGTCACCTTCATGTTGTTATTTATGCAGCATTAACCTTTTTCTCCAGATCATTGAGACTGAAAATATGATGGACCGGATTGTGACTGGCTTGTCTGAGTCTAGTGTCAAGGTGCGGTTAGCTGCTGTCAGGTATGAGCTTTACATGGTCTGAATAAAAATCCCTTGCTCTGTGTTTAGCCCGTTTCATTTCCGGTCCTTCACTAAGTGCAGGATGCAGATGTTCATGGAACATCTGCTCAGGTGAAGCCATGCAGTGTGCGGTGTGACCTAACTGAACCTCCAATGCCTGAGAGGTGTCTTGCTGTAGCTGACTTAGTATCGATAGCCATGTTTAACTGTACATTCATACTAGTGAAAAGCCGAGCGACTGATTTGAAATGTGAGCTGTGGCTTCTTGGGAAGCTAATTTTGATCATTCTTTATAGATGCTTGCACAGTTTATCCAGATCTGTACAGCAGCTTCGAACCAGTTTCCAGGATCATGCGGTGTGGAAACCTTTAATGAAGGTGAGAAAGCCACAGCAGTTGGCACCAAGCCTGTGGGCCAAGCTGGCCAGCAGCACCCGGGTCTAGGACTGCATCTGATTTTTGGGTAGAATATGTTGATGTTCGTCTCAAGTCAGATGTTCCGAGCAGCTACATACTTAGAGAGTGCGTTTCATGTGTGAAAGGGAAGTCCCAGCCCAGGTTTCTTTATTGGCTTGAGCTCTCAGTACTCATTTGTGCTTCTGTGTTTATCATTACTCTTTAAATTTAAATCTGGAATTTTCTGAGTAGCCTTTAGGTTATAAAAAAGAAAATAATTGGCTGGTTATAGATATAAAGTAAGATTGGGCCATTAATTTTGCTTTGGGGCTCTCCCATACCAGCAGGAAAGAACTGAAGGCAAATAAATCTGAGTTAAAACTTAAAGGGTGCTTGCAGTTAGCTGCCGCTAATGTGAACCCCCATATGGAGCCACAGTCAGCTTGGTTTTGAGTTTTTTTTTTTTTTTTTTTTTTGATGTCTTAAGTGACTATGCATTTCATTTACTAAGTAGAATTTTAAAATTTATTTGGATTTTGTTGTTGTTCTTTTTGAGTACTTCCTCCAGGTCCATTGGCCTTGCAATAGTGATCTCACTCTTGCTTCAGTTTAGAATAGGCATGTCAGTGTGGCAGAAATAAGAGAAACGTCAAGCAGGACAGTTGTTGATTAGACTTTAAGAGAACAGGATTTCTTTCCATTAGTAGAACTGTTATGAAAGGTGTAGGAAATAGCAAGGGTGCCTTCATGACTGTCATAGAAGGATGGAGTGTAGGGTGGGAGCTAGGGGAGGCATGTCTGATAGCTTAGTAACTGAAGAGTAGAGGCAGGAAGATCATGAGGTGAAGCCAGTTGGACTGTGTAGTGAGACCTTGTTTTTGTGTGGGGTATTGTTGCTTGCTTCTGAAGGTAGAATTGGACTAGTACTGAAGGCCTTGGGAATTAGCACGCGGAGGGACTCTTACGGGAAAGTTGATTTTATGGCAGAGTATATGGTTTATTCTTTGAGGTCTTAAAATGAGATGATAGTCATTGTTTAAGAAACCATATGAGCCAGGCAGGGGTGGTGCACGGTTTTAGTTCCAGCACCCTAGAGGCAGAGGCAGGTGGATCTCTGAGTTCAAGGCTGGCCTGGTCTACAGAGTGAGTTACAGGACAGCCAGGACTACACACTTGTCTCAGAAAACCAAAAAGAAAGAAAAAAGAAAAGAGAAAGAAGGAAAAGAAACAGAATGAACCCTCGAACTAGTCACTGGAAGGCATAACAGTATTGAGTATGTGATTTGTGTTTAGGTTTCTAGAAGGATGTCGTGATCCAGCCTCATGAGGCTGATCAGGACAAAATATTCCTTCAATTTCTCCCTTGCTGAGGGCCTTCCTTCTCAGCGTGTGACCCTGCACATTCCCATCCATTGACACTGTTCTCTGCTTTTCTTTCACCTGATTTCCCCATTGGACATATGGAGCCCCTCTGAACATGACTCATTTCCTGCTGTAGTTTTGTTTCCTAAAACTCACTGAGAGCCCCCAACCTCAGAGAGGTTATTTCCCTACTCTGTAACCTTAATGCCTTTCCACATTGGTAAGGTGCTGCCTCAGGGACTGGTTCAGGTCAACAGAAGTCTGTTTCAGACTCACAGTCTCTTATCGAAAACCAATGGAGCCAATTTGACATTCTTAGATTTTTGAAAGCCCTCCTCAGTTCATGTTTTCTTTTATAATTCCTAGTCTTTCTTTTTAGGGTTTTGTTTTTGTTTTCTGGTTTGTCCATTTGTTTTTAATTATAGCTTTTAAGTATAGCTAAATCATAATTTATTACCAATTCAAGACTTTTTAACTATTTTCTGTTTCCCAAACTAACTACTTTGTGTCTGGAGCCCTTGTTTGTCTCTGGGTGCTCAGCTCAAAATCTCTCTGTTATATACATCAAGGATAGAGCAAGGTGATTTCTGTCTATTTCTCCAAGGGCAAATGTTTGATGAGCAGCTTAGAAGAGTTTATACTCATGGCTATATGTGGGTTCAACTCTCAACTCAGGACTTAGTTAACACATTTCAGATATAATATTAGATACAGGTACTCATACTCACTTTGATTTTTCATAGTTGAAAAGCTGCTTATGTATCTAATAATTTTTCTTATTTGCCTTTCCATATACTTTAATCTGTTGACTAACAAAACACAAGGGAATAGTCATTTAATTTTAATAAAAAATTTTGTGTTTTAATTTTTTCTGTTTGGGTAAAATTCATATGTATGTATATAATTTTTTGTTCTGGGATCAAATCCATGGTCTCATACATACTAGACAAGCACTCTACCAACTAAGCCATACTCCTAGTCCTATTTTATTGCTAAAAATCTATTTGCTAGACAGTAAAGGTCAGCTTCTGAAGTGCAGTATTTTTCCTACACATACTCTCCAGGGGGCTGGAGAGATGGCTCAGAGGTTAAGAGCATTGCCTCCTCTTCCAAAGGTCCTGCGTTCCAATTCCCAGCAACCACATGGTGGCTCACAACCATCTGTAATGGGGTTTGGTGCCCTCTTCTGGCCTGCAGGCATACACACAGACAGAATATTGTATATATAATANCATGGTGGCTCACAACCATCTGTAATGGGGTTTGGTGCCCTCTTCTGGCCTGCAGGCATACACACAGACAGAATATTGTATACATAATAAATAAATAAAGATTTAAAAAAAAAAAAAAAAGAGAGCAGCCACATACTCTCCAGTATGAAAAGTCAAATTGAAAGACTTTTACTTAGTCATCTATGACTTCACCTTCAGCATTTCAGAATTAATGACATCGTCCTTTTTATTCTATAGGTGTTACAGAATGCACCTGATGAAATCCTAGTAGTAGCATCTTCCATGTTATGTAACCTTCTTCTTGAATTTTCTCCAAGTAAAGAGGTTAGTATTGACTTTCTCTTAATCTGGCTAAAGTTTAGTCAATTGCTGTTATTTTCTTTTTTGCTTTTTATTTATTTATTTTGGCTTTTTCAAAACAGAGTTTCTCTGTGTAGCTCTGGCTGTCCTGGAACTCACTTTGTAGACCAGGGCCTCAAACACACAGAGATCTGCCCACCTCTGCATGCTGAGTACTGGGATTTAGGTGTGTGTCACCACCACCCAAGTTTTCTTTTTTATTAAATATAAAGTTGGTGTTGAAGCTTGTGGACTGGGTTGGAGAACTGCTTCTAAGTGGTTTGATTTGGGTAGAGAAGGAGACAAGCCACTGGTTTTCAGTACTGGAATGACGTCCGTTACCTTGTTCATCCTACCTGTCATGCTCCACTTGCTTCCTAGATGTTAGGAAGCCCAAAGCCGCACAGTGGCATTCACCTGTCCTCTCGGGTGCTTGGGAGGCTGAGGCAAGAGGATTGATTCCAAGAGCCCAAGAATTTGAGGCCATCTTGTTTATACATAACTAAAAGATATCATAGTATATAATCATTCTATGTTGAAATTGCAAGTAAAGAAATAACTATAAATCTATAAATAGACTATTATCAAATAATATTTACTAAAGAATAAATTGAAAAACAAGTTGTCTTCGAAAATCAGGATCGTAAGTCATTTCAAGAAAATAATTCCTTGCATCAGAAAGTAACATTAAGTGGTCATTGTTTGGGGTAGAACAAATACAGGTTTTTTCCTATTTCTGTTCTTGACAGTTTTCTGCATCTACAATGAATTTCGGTGGTTTTCACTGTTCTTGTCTCTCACCTCCTCCCTCTCCTACTGAAACCCTTCTTATCTTCACTCTCTTCTTCACCTACTTGTGTGTGACCCGCTGTGTTTGATTAGGATTGCTTTCATGACCATGGATGGAAGTAATTTATTAGAGCTGGGCAGCTTGACTTCTTCCCCAGCAACATTAACTGACAGTAGACTCTCAGGAAGGGGTAGAATCTTGTAGACCCCTTCATGACCTTGATGCAGTGTTGATTGACAGCCCAGTCTAGTGCGGTGGTGTCTCTAGCTGCAATATGTTTGGTAATGGTTCTTTCAGGACCAGAAGACTCCTTTTGATGCACATGTCCCTGTCCTTTGGTTCTTGTGTTCTTTCTGGCACTTCCTATTTATGCAATGTCTCTGAGTTTTAGAGGGTTCCCTTTCCACAATTTTTAAGTTTTTTGAGTTCATGGGGTTTTGTTTTTAATAAAGAAGAATCAATTTAATAAAGGATAGGTGAACCTTTCACAGTTCTGCTATTACAGTCTTTCTGGTCTAGGGCATTGTAGAGCATGGTTACACATGTAAGGAAAATGGATTCAGTCTCCAGCAACAGCAACCGAAAGAGTGAGTGGATGTGTGTGTGAAGGGCATGCATGCATGCGTGCATAAGAGAGAGAGGGAGGGAGGGAAAGAGAGAGAGAGAGAGAGAGAGAGAGAGAGAGAGAGAGAGAGAGAGAGAGAGAGAGAGAGCGCGAGAGCTTGTCTTGCTCAAGGTATCTTTTATGGTGCATTAATTCCCCACTTCAAATTGGAGAGTTGGGGAAGAGATTGTACATGAGTGGTAGAGCAGACACTGTAGTTTGCATATCTGATATGGACTCTTTTTCTCATTGTTATTTATTTATCATTCTTTCTTGCTCCTCCTTTTCTAATCAGCCAATTTTGGAATCAGGAGCTGTAGAGCTGCTTTGTGGATTAACACAGAGTGAAAACCCTGCTCTACGAGTGAATGGGATTTGGGCTTTAATGGTATGTTTCCTTTTAATGTCACAATTTATAAGAAAACTAGGGGTATTATCAAAGTTATGACTATGGCATATGTTCTGGAATTTTCTTTTTCTTTTTTTTTCTTTTTTCTTTTTTTTTTTTTTTTGAGATGGGGTTTATCTGTGTAGCTCTGGTTGTCCTGGAACTCTGTAGAACACGCTGGCCTTGAACTCATAGAGATTTGCCTGCCTCTGCTTCCCAAATGCAGATTAAAGAAAGGAGTGTACCACCACTGCTCAGCTAGAATTTACTTTTTAAAAACTGGTTAACTAGTCCAGTTGTCTAATGACCTATAGCCTGAAAGATTCTGTGTTCATCTTTCAGGTTCAGCTATCAAGGATTTATTTGGTCACCTAGAAGTCCCTCATTTGGGAAAAGCAGTCTGTGTTTTTCTGAATACACTACTCCTCACAGGAGCTGCTTACTTCCTATGTGCATATAGGGATATTGTTTTTATTCTTTACAGATAGTAAACCAAGGCACTGAATGATTGCTGTTCGAACTGACACATAAAATTTCATGTTTGTGGTATACATGTTTTGAAAGATATTCTAAAGTAGCTGGATTGACCTAATATAAGCATCACCAACGTAGTTAGCATATTTTGTAGAATAGTTACCTTGCCAAAATAACACACAGGTGCATAAATACTTAGTAGTTGAACAATTTCTAGTAAATATAAAAATAGCTTCTAAAATTATGAGATCGGAGCCATTTTTCTCAATTATTAAAGTAAGCTATTAAATTTTGAAAAGGAATAAATCTACATGGATTTTTAAAAGCATACCTAGAATATTTACATTTAATTGCTGTGTATCAGACCAAAGCTGGGTGCTTTATATTTGTACTTGCTATTTTAAAAACAGTATTTTATTATACTTATTTAGAACAGGAGTATGCACATGTAGCCAGAGACTCTGCTTTTGTTTCCCGGCTGCCCAAACCCAAATAATGGCATAAAAATTATATTAATTAGGACACTGTTTGGCCAACTGCTCAGGCATATGCCTCACAGCTCTTAGATCTTAAATTAATCCATTTCTATTCATCTGTGTATTACCACAAGGCTGTGGCTTACTGGTAAGGTTCTGGAGTCTTTCTCCTTCGGCAGCTACATGGCGTCTCTCTGACCCTGCCTTCTTTCCCCATGCATTCAGTTTAGTTTTCCTGCCTAGCTATATTCTGCCCTGCCATAGGCCAAAGCAGCTTCTTTATTAATGTGGTAATAAAACACATTCACAGCATACAGAGGGGAATCCTACATCATGCATACATGCTGTAGGTGAGAGGACAACTTGGGGTTGGGTGTCAGTTCTCTCCTTCCACTAGTGAGTCCAGAGACTCCAGCTCAGGTCGTGAGTCTGCGCCTTTACTTACTGAGCTGGTCCTGTGCTAGGTTTTAGGTTCTCTTGTGAATGACCTACCTTACCAGTGGGAAGGTGAGACTGGGATGTGTGGAGGTTGCTTTCCAAACTAATGAGCACTGGAAATAAATGGGTTCCAGTGGTGTCCATGCCTAAACTAATGAGCACTGGACATGGGTTCCAGTGGTGTCCATGCCTAAACTAATGAGCACTGGACATGGGTTCCAGTGGTGTCCATGCCTAAACTCGTCCCCCTGCTCCACAGTGTATGCTGAGTACTGACATAAGCTTGGGGGTGGAAATAATAGTCTGATAAAACACCAAATCCAATTATTTCTTAGTAGATTTTCTCCTTAGTACAACTTGTAGCTCTTCTTGAAACATTCCCAAGACTTTTTTTTTTTTTAACCTTTCTATTATCCTTTTTCTACCTGACCTCCTTTTCAGGACTATTCTCCCAATGTCAATTCCTAGTTTCTATTTTTCCTTACACTTCAGTCTGAGGAGCCCTTCCAATAGAAAAGCTCACTCAGAAACCTTTATGTCTACATGGATATGACTATTCCCCAGATATTTCACCTAAATAGCCTGTGGGACTTGAGTTGAGAGCTCCCTGACATGCACATGCTTGTTGCTAAACAACAAATTAATCATCTCATTCTGCAGTCCAGAGAAACTAGAACCTTCTTGTTCTAATCAGTCTCGTATCACCAGCCTCTGTAACCTCGGTTCATAAAACAGAAAGCTGTGGATTACCGTGGCCTGGGTCTCTGACAGCAGCAAGTGCACTTTTGACTCTTGTATTGCCCTGTATCATTGATAACCGTGCTCTCTGAGAGGCCTTAGTTACTTAATTGAAATGAACACCTGACTAGGGGCAGTAACTACATATAAACCACATATAAGAGATTTTTGCAAATTTTTTTTAAACAGAGTTTGGAGTAAACTGGGCTGATCTATTATATGAATTAGAAAAGAAGTAGAGCCAGGCTGTGGTGGTGCACACCTTTAATCCCAGCACTCAGGAGGCAGAGGCAGGCAGGTCTCTGAGTTTGAGACCAGCTTGATCTACAGAGTGAGTTCCAGGACAGGCACCAAAGCTACATAGAGAAATCCTGCCTCAAAAAACAAAAGCAAACAAACAAACAAGAAAAGAAACAGAAACAAAGTAGCCACTGGCCTTCTGAGTTGCTAGTATGTTAGGGCATAGCTCCTACCTACTGAGAGTACTTAGCATAAAATACATAGAAATATTCTCACAGGTAATAAGTGAGTTTGTTTTGTTCAGATGCCCACGTCAGTAAGTGTTATATTCCTCTTACAGATGTAGACTTAGGAGTGGATATTAGTTATCTCTGTAGGTGAGTAGAAGGAATCAGACAAACAGTATGACTAATACAGCTTTGAAATGATCAAAGTCCTAGTAAAATAAAATTTGATACAGTGACCATAGACATGATTCTTGTAATGTCTTTAATCCTTTCAGAATATGGCATTTCAGGCTGAACAAAAAATAAAAGCTGATATTTTACGAAGCTTGAGTACTGAACAGCTCTTCCGGTTATTATCAGATTCCGATTTGAATGTGCTGATGAAGACATTGGGGCTTCTTAGAAATCTCCTCTCCACTCGACCTGTAAGTAATGCCCCAGGATTCTCCATTGCTCAGCATCTGTGTGTGAGTACAATGCTGTTCATTCCAGAGAAGCAAGTTCACATATGGGTCTGTCACTTGCACCAGTGCTCTGGAAACTGCCACCACCACTGCCTGCATGGTGGATCTCCCTCCCTCCCTGGTGCTAGATGTATGCCTGCCTTGGCTTGTCACTTTATCTGCCCGAATCATTGTCTCCTGAGGTCTCTGTTTCTCTTTTAAAAAATCCTCTTAGTGTCATCATACAGACCCTACCCCCCTCACACATATTGATGTCATTGTAGAGAGAAATGGCTGAGCCTTGCTAGTGCCATCCCTGTGGGCGTTCTCTGATGTCCCCTGACCATCACTGTCAGTGGTTCTTGACTAGATAAAGAACACAATGGACCTTTCTCGACCGTACTTGTTCTTTCAGTCATCTTTACCGCATCCTAAGGCCATATTAATGAGCCAGATCATATTTTCCATGTCTCTGACTTCCATTCATTTTATACTTCTTGATCCTTAGTGGTTTTTGTTCTCTTCATAATACACACTTAGAGAGAGGGGGAGGAGGGGAATAGGAAAGGAAGAGAGATGACTTCAAAACACAATAAACCCCGGTCTTTGGAATCTGGTTCTATATGCTGTGTTGTTCTGCTTGAAGCAGTGTGCATCGTGTAACTTTGAGAAACTTTGTGTAAGGCAGGTGTAGTGAGTGGTACATGGCCTATAATCCCAGAATTTGGGTGGTGGATCAGGAACTCAGGCCCTTGATTAGCTGCATGAGACCATGTCTCTATAAACTAAAACTAAAATGAAAGAAAAAGAGGCCTCCTGTGGTCTCTTCCTATGTTTTCTAGATGTAATCGTGGATTTCCCATTGTTTTGCAGCATATAGATAAAATAATGAGTACGCATGGAAAGCAGATTATGCAAGCTGTCACTCTGATCCTGGAAGGGGAGCATAGCATTGAAGTTAAAGAGCAGGTATGTGCTGTGGAGAACCCCTGATTGTAAGCACAAAGAGACATCTGCAGGCTTATGAAATATGTCTGTCGAAGACAAGAGGAAGGGTCCTCTGGCAACCCTTCAGCTCTTCCGGTGATCTCTTTCCCTGGAATAGAAAACATGACCAGAGTCTGTAGCTTTCTCCTTTGTGTCACATGCCATGTGTACTGTCCCTGTCCCTATGGGAACAGCCTCATGCTTGATTTAATGATTTCTCCACATTATCTGGAGATAAGCCTTCTCTGTCACTACACCCTGAACTCCAAACTCAAATTCCTCCAACTCCAGTCAGATAAATCCTTATCTTGAAGGCAGTTTTGGTTTCTTTACTCTTTGGCGTCTTCTATTCTTGGTTAGCATTTTGAACCTTTATTTTCTATGGGACATACTGAGGGAAGGTGTGAAAGTACAGCAGCTGCGTTATCAGGGAATCACTTGGAAGTCACTTTCTGCATTTTCTAGAATTTATCATGGAAGTTGTATACATTGTATTTTACCACAAAATAAAAGTGCCCCGCCAAGATGGGAACACAGAGTCTGAAGCACTGCTAGGGTTTGCTTTCCTGACAGTTGTTTGGCTCTGTGGCTCTGTTCATATTTAGAATTCATTGAGCTGTGTATGGGTGTGTCTGTGTGTATAAATGAACACACACATACACACATAATATTATGTATGTGAGTGAGCAAGATAAGCAGAAAGTTGCCTCAGATCGTTATGGAGAGTTGACTTGTCCTTTGTGACCCTGACTTAGAACAGTCCTAGATATCAGAGAGCTTAGGACTTGAGAGCTGGGCCTAGATTTAACAACAACAACAAAAAGAGTTGACTAAGTCATTTTAAGACAGATATCTTAAGTGATTGAAATTAAGAAATAAGCTTTAGATAAGGAGTAATTTAGCACTGTAAAGGTATAATCTAAGCATCACTGGGATACAAGAATGAAGAAATACACTATTCAAGAAGCTGGTCCTGGAAAGTGCACTGATGTGTTCTGTCTCTGAAGACAGCTCACCTTGGTAGAATTCCATCATCTGAAAAGCAGCAAGGCAGAAAGGCCAGGCAAGATTTAGATGTCGGCAAAAGATCAACAACAGTGTGTTTTCACAGGACACAGATATAGGTATGGACACTCACAGATGCCTAGTTGTTACTGGAAGTTCAGTTCTCAAAAGCCTCTAATAAGTGATTTTTATAGGGGCGTACATTAGCTGCATCCATTTGTAGTATATGTAAGTTTTCACAGGTGCATTTATCCATGAAGCTACCTGTCTTTTTAGGGTTTCTATTGCTATGAAGAAGCACCATGATCATGGCAACTCTTAAGAAAAACAGTTTATTGGGGTGGCTTACAGTTAGAGGTTCAGTCCATTATCATCATGGGGGGACATGGTGGTGTGCAGGCAGACAGTGCTGGAGAAGGAGCTGAGAGTTCTACATCTTGTTCCGTAGACAATAGGAAGTAAACTATGTTTCTGGGTATAGCTTGAGCATAGGAGATCTTAAAGCCCACTCCCACCGTGACACACTTCCTCCCACAGGGTCATACCTACCACAGCAAAGCCACACCTCCTAATAGTGCACTCCCTATGGGGGCCATTTTCTTTTAAACCACCACACTACCACTACAGTCAAGATGTCAGTATACCTGCTGTTGCCCTTTGGTTGGGAAGAAGACAAGTTTGTCAATTCATACCACTCCTCGTCCACAGGGCACTGCCATATGGCAAGCAAATAAGTAAGGCACAAGATTGGAAAGGATGAAACAGAACCGTTCTCCAGACATGAAGAACTCATTTAAAAAAAAAAAAATCTAGACCTAAGCAAGGTGTCAGTATAGAAAAATTAGTTATTTTCATATATTAGCAGGGAATGGTTAGTAATATTGCTTAAAAACAGCCCAGCAGCATTAGAAGGAGCTTGAAAAAATACTTAGATTTTGATCTCATTAGGGTCTGTGTACTAAAAGTTATAAGGCTGGTAGCAGTAGAACTATGACTAGGAGTCAGGCAACAGAATGTTAGCAATGTCGACTCTTCCTGAGTTGATAACAGTAGAGCTAAATGACCAGGAGTTAGGTCAAAAGAGTGTTAGCAATGTTGGCTCTCCCTGAGTTGGTTTATACACAACATCATGCCAGTCGTGGTCCCAGAATAAATAAATATTAATATGCTTATGAATTACAAAAGTCTTTCAGTTGGAAAGTTTAGAAATAGATCATGGTGATAACTGATTGAGGTGATTCAGTAGGGAAAGGGTGTCATTTTTTTAAGCCAAAAAATTAAGTTTGAACCTTATCTTACACCTTTGATAAAAATGTTTTCATAGGTCTTTTATAAAGAGTAAAATTATAAAACTTTTAAAATACAATAGAAAATTTTAAGATGTGACCATTAAAGTAGCAATTTTGAATGGCATTTTTAAAAATCTTTATTTCTAGTAAGATAAAAATACTCATTGCTATTATATGGGCAATTTTTGAACATTGATTTTTTTCATTGTTTACTCTTAAAACGTTTTTGTAAGTTACTCAGAATTTTCTATCTGTGAATGAAAACAGCTTAACATATATTGTTTTTGTTTTGTTGTTTACCTTGAGTGCCCAGTATAATGGATGTATAGGAACTAGTAAGAGTGGACATATTTGCCTTGTTCCCAGTATTAGAAGAAAACATTCTCTTTCACTATAGACTATGAGAAGTGTAGGTTTCTGACAGATCCTCTTTATTAAGAAATATTTTATATAGTTCATTGAATACTTATCAATGAATAGATACTGGGTTTTTTTTCCAGTCACTTTTTCTGCACTTATTGTAAAAACAAAAAAAAAAAACTTTTGTTTGCTTTTTCAAGACAAGGTTTCTCTGTAGTTCTGGGTGTTCTGAACTCAATCTGTAGACCAGACTGGCCTTGAACTCAGAGATCTGCCTTCCAAGTGCTGAGATTAAAGGTGTGCACCACCACCAGTGGGAGAAACGTTTTTTTAAGTCTGATGAATGTGATGGGTCTGTTTCTTGGTTTCAAAGATTCAAAACACTTGGTTATTTTGTATTTTTCTTTACTTGTGGTGATGGGCTCCCCTGACTGAACTATGGGAAGGCATACTCCACATCTGTGTAAGTGTGGGACCTCAAGAATCCTCTCTTGTAATGTTTCATCTTGTTTGGTTATAGGAGAGTGCTGGCTTTGGGGATGAGGTGGAGAAGAATTTTTGGAGAACTGATGCTATTTCTTTCTTGTGTCTTAGTGGAACATTTGCCCTTTGGCCCCTGTGTTTTTCCCATTCTCTTACAAAGCTGTTTCTTCTTACAGTGTTATAAGCCTTTCAAGGAATTTTTCACTTCATCTAAGATTTCAGATTATTGCCATGAAGTTGCACTCTCGTGTTGCCTTTTATAAACAGGCAGTGTTCCATAGTGTCGCCCTCTCTTTTGGGGAAAAGGGTAAGACAGTGTCTTACTCTACTTTAGACTGGCTTAGAACTTCCCTTGTAGCCCTGAGTGGCCTCAAACTCTTGGCAGTCCTCCTGTCTCGGTTTCCCAAGTACTAGGATTGAAACCACCATGCCTGTTTCCTCTCTTGTCCCGTGTGTTGCCATGCCTTTCTTACAGATGAGTCTAGCTAGAACAGTTTAATTGATCTTTCAAAAATTGTTTTCAGTTGCATTTTTACTGTTTTTCTGTTCTCTAGACAAGGTGTTGGATTGGCTCACAGGCCATGATTTGCCAACCTCTGCTTTCTAGTGTTGATCTTCAGTTGTTGATGCTAGTGGATTATGCATGCACAAGTGTTGTGCGCATGTGTACATGTGTATTTATGTGTGTGTGCGTACTTGTGTGTGTGTGCGTGTATGGATGTGCATGCTTGTGTATGGGCATGCATGTGTGTGTCTGTAGCTTTTATCTGTCCGCTGCCTAGTTCATATGTTGAACTGGCTTAGCTCAAGAACTAATTGAATGTCTTTGGTTTCTTGTGTCCATAGAAGTATTTATGGTAAGGTTTTTTGAGGATCATGGATCTATTCTGAACCTCCAAAAAATCAGTTCCTCATCTATCTTACTGAATTCTTCTTTATATTCTTTAGTAGGTAAGAGAGGGGCAGTTCTTTCAAGGCAAGGCGTAACATGTTTGCATTTCTTCCTTTCCCTGAGAATATTTAAAATTCTCATTCCTAGTCCCTCACTTCCATTATTTCTTATTAGGCTGCTCTGGCCAGCTCAGTACTGAGCCTTTCTGGGAAGAAATGGGGAAACAAGAACACAAGAGAACCAATCTATGGTTTTTCTGTATTCTTCCCTTTTCCCTTCTCCCTCTACCTCCCTATGCATTGCTTGACCTTGCTCTTGGCATTTTGGCTTTGTCTTCTTTAAGGAAGGATTGACTACCTAGCACTAAGGAGTATTACCTTGTAGGGCTTGTAAAATCATTCTGTAATCAACACAAAGGAAAAGCTGAAGTGGAAGGAAGGAATGTGTTTCCCAGCTGATTTCAGTGTGCCTGCATTGATGAGTGCGGTGTAACAGATCCGGATGGGAAGACTCGAGTAATAGAAGAGGAAAGAAGCCAGGCTGTGGTGGCGCACGCCTTTAATCCCAGTACTCTGGAGGCAGAGACAGGCAGTTCTCTGTTAGTTCGAGGCCAAACTGATCGATAGAACAGTTCCAGGACAGCTTGGACTATTAAACAGGGAAACCCTGTCTCGAAAAGCCAAAAAAAAAGTAAGTAAATGAGAGAGAGAAAAGAAAGGATTGGACACTCATTATTTTTTATATGCAATAACCCTGTCCTGTTGGTTGAACTGAGACCAGAATGTGGGTAGAACAGCTGTTGCTCCTATGGTTCCAAACTTGAATCCCTTGAAGCCAGTTGTTAACAACCTGTTTCCTAATTTATTACCCCTGTGAGTTAAACTAAAAAGAGTACAGATCCAAGCTGCCTCTAATCTCAACGCTTGGAAGGTTGAGGCAGGAATATGGCTGCAAGTTTGAGGTCAGCCTTAGATACATATCTCTCCTCTCTGCATATGAAACACAAACACATGCACACATATCAGTGAGGCCTGTGAGACTGTCTCGTGGGTAAAGGTATTTGCCTCACAGATCTGACAGTCCGAGTTTGATCTCCAGAATCCACATAAAGGCAGAAGGGGAGAACTGACGGCACACAGCTGTCCGCTGGCATTCACACACTAGTCATTTTTTTATAAGAAGGAAAGATGTTTTTAAGTACAAATCCATCATTACTGATCTTCGTAGGATACTATCTAATAGTTTGTCCCATACCAGCACATCTTCCACAAGCCATCACTCTGCACTTGATGATCCGGATTATACAAGTTGTATCTTGTGTCTCTTATGTCCCAGAGGCAGCCTTTGGTTCATACCTCAGATCTTACTCCCTAGTAATCTAGTCATAGACGTGTGTTAAGCAGAGTGAAATAAAGCCACAGGCCGGTCCCTTAGGGCATTTGAGGTCTTGGACCTGGGTAAGAAAATAGTTTCTTCCTTGTCTTAGTTCACCTAAGTCTACAGTAGAAAGGTGTAGACTGGAGGAAGTTGTGTCTATGCCCCATCCTCAGCTCTCATACCTGACTTTGATTCTTGGGCTTCAGGTTCATGTTGCTTCCTCCCAGAAGCTGCCCCTGCCTGCATTGTACCCAACAACCTTTGTTTTCTTGGTTCCTTTTGCTTCCGTGAAGTATAGTTGTTTATGTAACAGTGTCAAAGTCAGAGTGTGTGTGCCTTATTCCCACCTCACCTGGATGCCCTGCAGAGGACGGACCCATGGTGGGTTCCACCTGGCCTTGTCTTGATTTTCCTGCCAAAGTCCTTTACCTTAATACTGATGGCAGGAGTGGAGCATCTGGTAAGAGCAGTCTCTTCTACTGGATAGAAGCTTGAGTTGCCAGTGCCCTGTCAAGATATATTGTCCCACCGGCTGGCATAGGCTCCCTCCAGTCTCCTCATCAGGCCAGCTTGGACCAAGCTTGGAAGCAAGTTACAGTGAGAGGCCTAAGGAAGGGAGGGAAGTTGCAGCTCCTAAGAAACTTCCAGCAAAGAGGCTGCATCACTGAATAAGATGGGGCCAGTCACAGGAGTTTCTCTTGGAAATGAGTTTTAAAATTGGTTGTTTTAGTGGTAGGAGTTCGATGGTGCCAGGATTTAACCAGGTTCTTCGTATGCTAGTCAACCTCTAATTTACACTCCTCCTACCCAGGAACCACTTTAAAAAAAAAAATTATAACGTAATTCTTTATTGATTCTTTGGGACTTCACATCATGCTCCCCCAGTCTCACTCACCTCCCAGTCCCTCTATATCCCCCCTTCCTGTGCAGTATCTCCCCCCCCCCCAAGAAACTCCTCAAACTCTAAAACATAAATTGAAAACAAAACAAGTGAAATAACCCACCTTGCGCCTCCGTCTTTCCAACACCTCTTCATTCATCCTAGTAGCTTTGGGTGTCGCGGTGTGTCACACCGTATACCTTTTTTGCAATCAGCCCCACCCACAAAGTGTTAGTTGCAATGAGGTGGTGGTCTGGTAAAGGCCTCTGTCACACCGTCATCACTGAGCACTCACCCAGACTCCTCTTGGATGTCCTGTCATCTCCCTGAGTCAGGGATCCTGTGGTTATCATTCTGCAGGACCAGTCCCTCTACACACTCCAGCAGGCCATCGATGGGGCCAACTCAAGGCCCAGGGTGTGGTCTGGGCCACTGGGGCTGCCCTTAGGTAAGGGGTAGAGCCAGCTCTCCTGGGCTCGTGCCATCAGATCCAGGCCAGCATTACCCTTGGATTTCAACATGCATGGTTTTTATGACCCCCTGTGGCAACACGGGTCATGAACATCACAGACCCCAGCTGTAGTAAGAACATGGACCCAGACATGGCCAGCAGCTTGGGCCCGGACATCACCATCAGTGGCAGCATAAGCCACCTAGATCAGTATGGCTCTGCGGCAGCAAGGCCCTCAGATACCAACATGGTCTCAGATGTCTGTTTAGACCCCTGGCATCCTCACAGCTCTCAGTGGTAATGGGAGCCACAGATATCAGCTCAGATCTTAGCTGCTGCTGGGCCATGGACAGGAAGCACATTTTTAAGAAAAGATAACTTTAATGTGGTGATGCAGCAGCCTTTACATCACTATGGCTGAAAGCCCAGTAAGAAATGACCGAAGTGTTTGAATCCTTGTTTGTATAGCATAGGTTTTCTCTTGGACATGGTTACTGCGGTTGACAGTAATGACAGGAGGTGAGAATCAGTGCGTTCATGATAGAACCCATGAGAAGCTGTACACCTTCAGATGAGAAATTCCCCATGATTTTCCGGAATCTTCATTTTTAAATTTTACTTTATGTGTATGTTTTACCTGAATCTGTGTTTGCACACTGTGTGTGTACCTGGTGCCCACAGAAACCAGAAGAGGGCATTGGATCCCCTGGAACTGAAGTTATGGGTGGTTGTGAGCTATCATGTGGATGCTGGGAACCAGACTTGGTTCCTCTGCAAAAGCAACATGTGTTCTTAACCACTAAGCCATCTCTCTAGTTCCCTGAGGGAGCTTTTTTGATCCCCATTCTTTATTCTTTTCCAGACACTGTGCATCCTAGCCAACATAGCAGATGGAACAACAGCAAAAGAACTTATTATGACCAATGATGACATCCTACAGAAAATCAAATATTATATGGTAAGCCTTAGTCTTCCTGGCTACAGAATTAGAAGACAAGGGCTCTAGCATTGTAGCTGAAAACAAACTGTAGAAGAATGCTCACTACTCTAACAGAGTCAGAGAATTTTATCCCAAAATAGAAAAAGCAAGCCGAGCTTCTAAAAATGTGCTGTGGGTACTGTTAGTACTACCACCCAGCTCCCACCCTGGTTGTCTGCCCACCACCTCCCTCTAACTGAAGACTTGAGCTCCTGGTTCTCAGTCCTGTCTCCCTCAGGTCTCTCAATCTCATGGTGGGTGAGTCCTCTAGACAGCTGGTACCTTACTTCTATGCTTACTTTTTTTTTTTTTTTTTTTTTTTTTTTTGGTTTTTTGAGACAGGGTTTCTCTGTAGCTTTGGAGCCTGTCCTGAAACTAGCTCTTGTAGACCAGGCTGGCCTCAAACTCACAGAGATCTGCCTGCCTCTGCCTCCCGAGTGCTGGAATTAAAGGCGTGCGCCACCACCGCCTGGCGACATGTTTACTTTTAAACATGCCTTGCCACCTACTGCTATGTCATGTGGTCATCATGGGACACTGTCAGTTTAGCACCAAAATCTGATGTTCAGCGCCTCCATCTTCTTTGATTTTGTTCATTTTCACCATAACATTCCAACCATGAGGGACATCTCCCCCATCCTTCCTCCAGCAAAGCTGTCTTCCCTTTGCTGCGCATTTCATAGTTATTAATTGCAGAAATGAGCTGGGGGGAATTCATGTTTACAAATCATCTTGTGCCCTTCATGCATTTCCTAGTAAGCTGTGCCTCCCTTTTCCCCAGAATAGGTTCATACTTTTGCTTGATCTTTTTAAACTTAACTCTCCAGTCCCCTTTGCTTCCTGTCGCCTTATTCTTTATTGTACAGAAGATGAGATCCACATGCCCTGACACCCCCAACTCCCAGCTCCTTTGAGTCCGCCTCCTGTTGTTTACTACATGGCTATCCTCTAGCTCCTAAATGAAGTCACATTCCTTCCTACCTCGGGTCCTTTATCTGTTCTGACTTGTCCACCTGGGACACTTCTCTACCCACCTCCTCACCCTTCAGATCTGAGCTGAACTGATACTTCGTCTCGGGGCCCCCTCTTGTGCAAGTGTTGTAGCATTGTTTTCTTCAGAGCAGCTCAGTCCATTAGTGATACAGCTCTGGGTTTCTACTGTCTCTGTCAGAGTGAGGATTGAGTTGTTATGTGCACCCTTTTATATCTGCACCTCCATAGCACCTGGTCTAATACCTACTCAGTGGTTGTTGATTTAAAACCTATTCTTAAACTGGTAAATCCCTTGTCTTTCAATTACCACATAGTGTCTTGTGTTTTGAAAGTTCCCTTAGTGGTAGACCATCGCCAGTGCACATGCCCTGGGCTCATTCTGCAGCACTGGAAGGATGGAGCCTAACTTCACCGTCTTTGTACACCAGTGTCCCTACTGCTATTCAAAACCCCCCTTTTCTAAAAGCATCTCTGCATATTCTCACTCCTTTCTTGCCTCCGCATTGACTTTAACCTACTTAATCCGGCTTCATCCTCATCACTCAACTCCAGCGATTCCAGTGAAGGTCACCATGACCTCTGCGATGCCCAATCTGAGAGTTCTTTTCCTTCCTTGTGCTCTCTACTGAGAGCTGACATGAACACAGCTGTTTCCTCCTGGAAACATCTCTTCCTCTTGGCTTCCCTGACACCATACCCCAGATGGTCCCCTCTCCTGTCTGCTCTCCTGCGGCTGCTTGTCCCTAGCTTTGTTTGCACAGTAGAGAGCCCTCTAAGGAGCTTCACAGCTTGCCTTATCCTTGCCCTCCCAAGATTCTCATCTAATAAAAAAGTCAGGGATATGTCTTAGTTACCCAGATTTTTAAGTGATTCCTGTATATGAATGGAGGACTCTGGACTTGGTACCCTCCTGCCTACTCAACATCTTCTTTTGTGCTGTCCGACAGCCTTTTGGACTGTTTATAAGTCGATCTCTCCTAAACTTACATGTCTCCCCCTCTGCCATCTCCTGCAGTGCTCAAATCAGATGCTACTCTGATTTCTCCAGCCCTGTCCAAACGGTTGTCTAGATTAGCATGTCCTGCGAACCCTTTCTCAAAACCAGTTTTGAATCTGTTCACATCTTCCTTTCGCTGCTGCCTCTACTGGTGTCCAAGCGCTTGCCTCTTCTGTTTGATTGCCTTCATGATAGAGGTAGCCTTAGAACTATACTCCAATTTCCCCAACCAAAGTGATGCTCTAAAAATGTAAGTCTAATCTTGTCTCTTGTAAATCTTCAGGGATTTCCTCTAGATTCAGAATGGAACCCGCAGTCCCTACTCTAGCCTACAAACTCTTTGAATGTGCACCCATCAGATCCCCTCAAGAAGTTTTCTGTTTGGAGCTATAGCCCTGTGATTTTTATACATCTAGCTCCTTCCTTCTCTTTAACTCTCTGTTTGAATGTTGCCCCTTTAGAAGAGATTGTCTGTGTATATTCACCTAAGCTAAGTTCCTAGCACTCCAGCTTCCCTTGTTATTGAATGAGTGCCAAATTAATTCCTTAGTAGTAAATGCTGTAAGTCCATTTCTTCAGTTTACTTATTGTTAGCTAGAGGCTGGAAGCAGATGACAAGTTTATTCTCTTCTGGCTTAATGAGCCCACACTGAGAATCACTGAGTATGTCTTTAAACCCGCTGACAGGCAAAAGAAGAACCATCAAAATTTCTGGTGGAGGAAGCCAGGCCTAGTTCTTTGGGTTTTTTATTTGTTTGTTTTTGTTTTGGTAAATCTGTAGTCCTGCCTGCAGTGAAGTCCACCTTAGCCTTTCAGAAATCCTTAAGCATACCATGCAATTGGTTTTCGGATGTACATTAATTATTTAAGGCCCTTGTTTGTTTGTTTTTTGATTTTTGAGATAGGTTTTCTCTGTGTAACCTTGGCTGTCCTGGAACTCACTTTGTAGACCAGGCTGTTCTCAAACTCACAGAGATCTGCCTGCCTCTGCCTTCCAAGTGCTGGGATTAAAGAGAATAAACTATAAAGTGTGCTTAAATCTGATTGTTCATGAACCTCCTGACCACAGCTTCATTTCCTATCCCAGAGGAATTTAACTGGACTACTTGAGCAGGATAGTAGCTGAAGAACTAATATGAAGTCTGCATCAGTCCATCACTGCAGTGACTGAGAGAATGGGCTGTCTGAGAGCATAGACATGTTAGGTGCCCAGGTCCTTGCTGCCAGTAACTTAAGAGAGAGAGAGAGCACAGGCAAGTCGACACATAGAGCTGTTAGGTACCTTTGTTTCTGGGCACATGCTGGATGATTTTTAAATTTTCATCTTTTGGCAAGGGTTGCACTCTTCAGTTGATGAGATTTCCCACCACTTCCTATGCTTTTAGCCTGACCTTTACCCTCTTTAATGTTAACTTTATAGCTCCTCAGGTTTGTGGCCTATGACTCAGAATTACCTATCACGAGAAAAATGATGTGCTGTGAAATTACCCCATCTTGATTTTTATTCCTTTTCTACATCACTAGGGTCACTCACATGTCAAACTGCAGCTTGCCGCTATGTTTTGTATATCAAACCTCATATGGAATGAAGAGGAAGGTAAGATATTGGTGAGGTTTGTCCCAAAGAAAATTTTGGAAGGAAATGTTTACACAGGGAAAGCAGAAACCCCACACACTTGGCCTAGCTGGTTCCTAATATCACAGAAACAGCTTGCTGTGAGAATCAATAGTATTAACCTAAGATGTGGCCCCACCCCCACACTTCAGGCTACCCTGGTACTAGATTACAGGGTAAGTATGAGAAGGGAGCACTAGTCCCCACCTTTGAGAGAACTGGTGAAGAGGGCACTGAGTTGCCTTAGAAGAAGGTGAGAGGGAAGATGATCCCATGTTGGGCCTTTCATCCTGTGCTGAGGATGCATATTTAGAGACTATCCAAACAACATAATGTCCCTGAGGGCCATGGCGAGGCGGTGCAGGGACCTTCTTGATGATGAACCTTCTTGAGTGAAAGGTTTTCACCTAAGCTGCATAATCCGTTTTTGCGCCAAGCCAGTTTAAATCAGAAGCAGGCTCTAGGAATGGATGGTTCTTTGTGCTTCCTGGGTTTCTCTTTCTGTAACCAAGGCAGGAGTCAGACTGCAGAGAGCATCTCAGCTCCAGGTTGGCTACATTAAAGTCAGCTGGGAAAGCCTATGAGTATGGTTTCTGGAACCTGGCCCTAGAGAGTCTGGGTCACTGGGTGTAGAGAGGGTGGTGCATGAACAAGTCACTAGGCTGTTTAGTGGGGAAGAAACTCCAGGGAGCTTCATGTACTTTGCATTCAGAACAAGGAAGCAAAACCAGATTTAACCCACAGGCCTTGATACTAAGAGTTGTATGTGACCCAGGACACCAAAGCCAGGCTTCAGGCTAGTAGTAGTCTAATTGGAAGTCAGAGCAGTATGAGATTAGAAATGTCATGTGTGCTATCACAGAGGCAGCAAGGAGTGGAAAAGGAGGGCCAAGGCATGCTAGAGACTGTTGGCTTGTCCTTAAAAGCTGCTTCCTAGTGGCACAGGGTCTTGTAAAGGGAAGAATGTGACTGACTCCGAGTCCATGCGAGAATTAACTTGTCGGGCTGGAGAGATGGCTCAGAGGTTAAGAGCACTGGCTGCTCTTCCAGAGGTCCTGAGTTCAGTTCCCGGCAACCACATGGTATCTCATAACCATCTATAATGAGATCTGGTGCCCTCTTCTGGGGTGTGTGCACGCATGCAGGCTAAATAAATAAATATTTATTTTTTTTAAAAAAGGAATTATCAGCAGAACCCAGGGTGGAGTTGATGGAAGTGGGGTTCAGGAGGCAGAGAAGCCAGGTAGGAGGCTGTGAGAAAGTTTTGGCGTGAAGGACTCCAGCTCCATGGGGGAGGCAGGGGACAGAAGGGTTGGAGTGAGTGACTCTGGTGAAGCTGGAGGAGAGCGGTGGCCTGCACCATGTCCAGTAACCTAGTAGTTTCAATCTTTTAGGTTCCCAGGAGCGCCAGGATAAATTACGAGACATGGGCATTGTAGATATTCTACACAAACTGAGTCAGTCGCCAGACTCAAACCTTTGTGACAAGTGAGTATTGACATAAAGGGCCTTGCTTTGGGCCCCCCTCAGTTCTTTTGTGAAAGGCTTGAGCTTTTTTAGTAACCCAGTCAGCCAGCCTTTTGATATTTTGGGTTGTTGTATTTCATTTTTAACTGTGAACTAGCAGTGACATTTGATTTTTTTACATTTATTTATATACATACTATGGTTGTGTGTGCGGGTGTGCCATGGCACATATGTGGCAGTCAGAGGACAACTTGTTTGGGTCTCTTCTTCCATCATGTGGGTGTAGAGATGGTGGTCAAACTCCTGTCGTCATGCTTAACAGCAAACACCTTTATCCAGCGGAGACAGTTGAGACGTAAACACTCATCTTATTCAGGAAGAACATGAGTTTGAGCCATCTTAGTGGTTATCTGAAGAGGGTCCAGTGGTGACTCCCTACATTCCTTTGACTATTACAGTAGAAATGCATGTGGCTTCTTTAGGGAAGTACAGAGACTAACAGTGAAACACTCATTGGCTCAGAGCTTCACTGAGCTCTGCCTTATGCCATTGCAACAGGGGCCTCAGTCTCAAGGAGCTCACCATTCCTGGGAGGGGTTAAGAGAAACAGAAATCCAGCCAACTAAGAGATGCTGTTCCTGTCCCAGCCACCCACCAAAAGATGCTTTTCCTATACTCCCTTATAACAGCCTCACTTGTGAGAGTGAACAGCTAGGAACATCTGTTCTTACTCTCTGCATGCTGAGATAGTTCAGAAGCCCTCGTGCTTTCTGCCTTTCACACCCATACCTATCTCGTGCCCACCCCATAACGTCGTCATTCCTTCAGGTATTACACATTCTGTCCCATGTGATTTGCCACCTTAGGTGTCTCCCCTTCATGTCTCTATTGTTCAGTGTTTTCAAAAATTACCCACTCTATATTCCAGTAACTTCACTGTTAGGTATAAATTATAAAAGGGGTGAATAAGTCCTTGTTCATGTGCAACTTAGATCCTAGTACAAAAGCCAGATACTATGAACAAATAGATATATATCCAGTGATGGCAGGGGACATAAAGAATAAGTAACATTTCTCTCATATCATATAGTTAGAAAAGGTGCCTGAGGGTGTGGTGGCTCATCATAGGCCTGGTTGAAAAGTGCTATACACAATTTAGAGGGAGAATATTCCAGGCAGGGAGCCCAGTTAGTCGAAAGGCCATGAGGTACAGGGGAGAATTTCATATCCTGAATGGCAGATATACAAGAAGAGCAATAGAGTCATGAAGGGGAATGATCACAGGGAGGGGGGCCAAACCCAACAGATCTCTGAGAGCCTTCCAGGCTCTTCAGGAGGCTCCGAGGAAGGACCCTGTGGTAATAAGGACTTCAGCTTTTAGAGAGCCTTGAGGGAAGGAGACAAGAACAAGTCTGCAGAACATGAAGTCTTAGAACAAGAGCAAAGGAAGGTGTCTGGGTTTGACCCTGAACAAGGAGGTAGAGGGCACCACGCTGACATGGACATGGGCAATTAGGTGGATAGACGGGATTGAATTCCTGCCTGGATATGCCAACTGTAGACTCAGGGAAATGTGACTGGGGTAGATTTGAATGTGTTCAGATGGAGCTGGAGAAAGTCATTGAAGGAGAGAGTTAAGAACAAGATGAAAGGGAAGTGCTAAGAACTGAGATCCAAGACCTGTCGCCATTTATGGCAGGTGAGAAAATTCCAGCAGAGAGCAGAAGGAACAACTAGTAGGGTAGGCAGATAGGCAAGCAAAGGGGAGACATGCCCAGTGACAGTTATTCTTCTTCCGAACTCCCTCAGCGACCATGCCAGCACCTTCTCTGCTCCCATAGTACCTGTAGAATATTCATGTTGTCTTAGTTATTAGTTTGTCTAGTGATTCTAAACTCCCAAAGCATACAGAGGAGACTGGGCTTCTGCCTCCCTGATTGTCCTGTAAGTTAGAGAAGTCTGAGTAATTTGTAGCCCCGGGTGCCAATCAGATGAGCAGAGAACCAAATGTAAGTGAGGTCAGCTGCAGGTTGGAGTCTCTGCCTTCCCTCCATGGCTGCTGGCTGAGAGCCAGGCTGCTAATTGGGCGTTTTGCTCAGATTTGCTTGGAAGAGAAAACCTACTTAAAATTGTCTTTAGGGGAATCTCAAGTTCAAAAACGGACTTGATGAACATGAACTGGGATAGGTGTGGGTTCTGGCCTGTATTGCTTTAGGCCAGTCTGGTGCTGTGTCTCCAAATTTGTATGGCATATGTTTTGGGTTTCCACGTTGTACACGCAAACCCCTTTTAAAAAGAAAAGGTAGCTATCTGAGGTTAGGGTGCTCACCTGTGACCTCAGCACCCAGGAAGCTGAGAAGAGGACCGTGAATTTGAGATCAGCCTTGCTGCAGTGCAAGCTGATTTACATGGCAAGAACCTGCCTTTGGGAAGAAAAAAGGAGTGAGCTACTCAACCTGTCTGTCCTGAAAGACTCCTTAGATAACAGGAAGTCTAAACACAATGAGCACACTCTCTGGAGCCCCCTAGGAATCAAACAGCCTACTAGGTCTAGAAAGATCTGACAGTTGAAGCAGCAGGTTCCCTTGTCATTTTGGTGAGAGATCAGTGTCTCACCCTGTAGCACAGGCTGCCCTGGAACTCATGATCCTTCTGCTCATGTCTCTAGTGCTGTTACAAATACACACCACCACATGGGCTGAATTAATAGTTTTATAGACTATGTGTACAGGATGACCTGGCACATTAAAGTCTGTCAACTAAACAAGGTAATTCTTGAACTTTGCATGTAATCTCAGCACTGGGGGTAGGGGCATGCACAGGAGGATCATTGCCAGTTCAAGGCCAGAACAGGCTACATAGTAAGTTCTAGGCCAACTAAGACTCCAGAGACAGTGACTTTGTGTCAAACACACATGGAAAAACAAACAAAAACTGTCGGGCAATGCTGTCGCATGCCTTTAATCCCAGCATTCAGGAGGTAGAGACAGGCAGATCTCTGTGAGTTCGAGGCCAGCGTGGTCTACAAGAGCTAGTTCCAGGATAGATAGAACTGTTACACAGAGAAATCCTGTCTCGAAAAAAATAAAATAAAAATAAAAAACAAATTAAAAAAAAAAACTCGTAAGACTCTACCTTTGACTTTATAGTAGTAGCTGCAATTGAGTCCACTTTATCATTGGCCTAGGCTATTAGTACCACTTTGATCAGCTAATAGCAACTACTAGTTTTGGCTTTTTCTTTTAAGCTAGGCAGGGAGACCATTTCTAAAGACAGACTGCCTAACCCCACAGTTTTATCTTCTTTGTAGTCTGCCAAACTTTAACCTTCATAGTCCTGAGGCCTTTGAACCAGGACTTCACCTGACAGGCTCTTGGCCCCCTTTCAGGTACCTTAGCACCTTCCCCTTTTGTCAGCTTCCCAGTGTCCTCCCCTAGACCTAGGCATTGCTGCATAACATGCACACAGCAGTAAGAACAAGTCAGGATTCCAGACTTAAGAGAACCCCAGGGAAATGTCTGCTGATGATAGCTGTTATCTCTGTGTAACAGCCCTAGCTATCCTGGAACTAGCTCTTGCAGACCACGCTGACCCCATAAGGTAGGTGCTCAGCTGGGCTCAGCCCAGCTCCCTCCTAACTACCATTAGTCATGAAGAGATTCTCCTCAGTTACAGTTGTGAGATGGTGGCTAACGGGAACTTTGTGATTTCAGGGCAAAGACGGCGCTGCAGCAGTACCTGGCATGACGGGAGAGCCCGGGCACCTGCGAGCACCCCCACCTTTCTTTAAGGAAGTGCAGGAGCTAGCCTCATTTGACTCCTTCTATTTGCACACGTCACCTTGGACTGCAGGGAGCTGTTTTGCAAAGCAGTTTAGTAGGCTTAGATCTCAAATTCATCTTGAGAACATTTTTTTGAGGTAGTAATTTCCTCAGAGGATTATTGTGTTTTGTTTTGTTTTGTTTCTGAGCTACCTGGACTCTTTATTAGAACAATCAATCATTTTCCTTTGGACCTACAATTTTTTGCCTATGCTGCAGCCACTTTGTGAGCAAGAATGGTGTGTGTGTCTGTGTGTGTGTCTGAATGTGTATGTGTGCACGTGTGTGTGTACATGAGAGTTTGAATGGCTGTGTGGGTGAAGGATACCTCAGATTTTTCTTTTCTTATTTTGTGTGAAAATCTCTTTTCTACAGATTTTCCAGGGTTTAAGCATTGCTTGCTGTATAAAAAAAAAACTTTACTGAATTATATACAGTTTGAATGAAATGTTATTTTAAAAGCAAAACAATTGTTTAGTGTTCCATAAAAGTTATGTTGAATTTTGGTCAGATGAATATTTGTAAGTAAAAAAATATATGCATTTCTGAACCTCAACTTACATAGATTTTCTTTATAAAAACAAACAAAAAAGAAAAAAAGACAAAGAAAAAGTTGGCTACAGTTCGCCTGAATAACAGGCGCTGTACATGGTGCTGTGCAGATAGTAAGCTAGCCTCTTACTGCCGTTAATATTAGCAGGTACAGTTTTTTGTTCTTGTTTTGGTTTTTCTCAGCCTAATTTGATAAGCTCTCAGGCTTCCAAGTCAGAAGGACAGTGGGTTGGAGAAGTGAGGCCACAGTCACTAGGGTTTTGAAATGTCAGAGGGAGATAGAACTACTGATAGTGGAAGCCTAGGGAGGACCAGGTGGGCTGCCTTTGACAGGACGGGGACCGAGAGCCTCCCAGCTCCCCTAAATCCTGTCTTTAGTGTAGCAATATCTGGCAGGGTTTAGAAACAGACCTGGAGAGCAGGTCGCCCCCTTCTGAAAATAAGCCAGATCACTTTGTGCTTCCTGCGGCAGCGGATCTCACTGTGAGACCAGCTTGTTCTGCAAACAATCCTAGAAAGAAACAGTAAGATAGGAGCAGCTTCCTTCTAATTCCAGAAAGCCTCTTCTTGACCATCCCAGCGAGGCCACACGGTAGCTGGGGATGCCTGGTTGTTGTGCTCTGCTAGAATGAGATGGGAAGTCTTTTCCTGAATGAAGCTAAAATATGAAACGTTGAGGGAAGGGAAGGGATTCTCCCCGGGATTACTGAAGATGACTTCTTACTTTTATTTTCATTATTTTATTATTTTTTGCATCTGCTCTAACTTCTGGTCCCTTCAAGGTGAACTCAACAGAGGTAGAACCAGTCTTCCTTTCCTTTTATTAGAAGGAGGCCAGAGCATGGCAGACTGGTGTGAGGTCTGTGGTCCTAAGCTTGCAGTGCGTGTATGCAACTACCGGGAGCCACACCTTCCCATCAGCCACTCCTGATAGGGTTGCTCACCTGCAAGCTGCTCTGTCACCAGCCTACACCTTCCTTGGGAGACTTAAATCTGGTTTATTGCAAATGAATGTTTTTAAATGTATTTAATGCAATGTTTCCTGTTCTCCATATGACCACCCGAGATGCAAAACACAGAGATTTCCAAGGTTTTTGTTTTGTTTTGTCGTCCCCCCCCCCAACATCACTGATTTGAAAGCTGTCACACAGAACTTGGGTTTTGTGCAGGTGTCTAGAGTGCTAATGTGGGAAAACTAGCTCAAAGGAAACCTAGTTTACTGGAATGAAGCCTTATGAGGGCCCGCTCATTGCTACTTCTGGTGCTGAGACTGTACCCTTGGGTAGCATTTGTAACAAATGCTACAGCGTCAGTTTTAGAAAGTACCAGCACATACAAAGAAAGAAACCAATAGTACGTTGCTGAGACAATCTCAAACCCAAATAGCATGAGAGGGCTGAAGACGCCTTGAACTCTGTGGATAGATCTTGCCTGTGGGTATAAGCAATGGTCACATAAAAAGTGCTTTACTATAATTAACTTTTCTGATTTGAATGAAGGGAAATGTATTTATTAAAACAAAGCTGTTTGCTGCTTTATGCAGGTGCAGTGTTTGGTCAGCAAGGAAGTGGGGAAAATGGGACATGGTCTTATGTCTGCACCCAAGTTCTTACTGAAGCTTCTCGCTCTAATACTGCATTCTGTTCCTCCTTTGTGCCCTGATTGTAACCCAAAATTTATAAACTAGAAAAGAATGTCCAATTTAATAAGTTGCATTTTTTTTCCTTAAGCACTTTATTCAGAACAATATGTGTTCTTCTGGTAGTGTTTGGATAATATGATTTTAACACATGCTAATAAAAGCCAAGAAAAATCATGGCAACTTCTTAAAAGGAGTCTGTTTTCCAAATGACTGGAGCATAAGGAAATGGTAGAAGGTAATGCGGACTGGCTTTCAGAGGCTGTGATCTGTGGTAAACGAAGGTCGCGAGGTGGTTTTGCATTGCAGAATGGAGAGCAGTACCTCAAGCCAGTTATGGCTCTCAAAGGCACCTGCATAGTCCAAGGACTCCTTTCCCTGGCCTGCAAACCCTTTATGGGTACCCATTCCCAACCTGCTGTGTCGTGTCTTCCCCTTCACCCAAGCCTCTTACGCCATTGTCACCACCTGCTGAAGTCAGACTGAGTATGACAAACGAGCAACTGCCGTCCTTCTGCAGGGACACACAGGTGTCCCTCATTTCTGTACTGTGCTGCCTTCTGAGTCTAAACCTGACCACAGCTCCCAGTTCAAGGCCTCACTGGAAATAGAAGTCCAGGGACACCTGCCCCAGAGCATGAGGACATAGAAGGAAGACAATGAGGTTGGTGTTAAGGAAAGAGAATTTTGGTGGTGTGAATCTCTGGGGTACCCAAAGTGACCATAAGTGGAAAACCAGGTGGCCAGCCCCCCTTTTCATTACTTCCTTAGGGAAAATAAGCAAAGCCCGAGAAAGGGGACTTTGCCACTCTAGGTTTTGGTGGAGACCCAGCAGGAGAGGTCCCAACGCCTTCTAAGCGGGGTAGGTCTGTCTTCTCTGATCCCTGAGCAGGGGCTCATTCATTTACCCCATGAGTCAAGTTTTTCTTCAGGACCTCTCCTAAAGGAGAGCTGAGAACTGTAAGGACCGAGGATGGCAGAGCTGTCCACTCTTGTGTCTGCCGCTCCAGGCTTCTGCTTCTGGTGTTGCCAGGCAGCTTGGCTCTTGCTGAGAGCAGGCCACAGCCAGCACTTAAGAGTGGACCCACCCCTTTGACTCCACATATCAGGTACTTGCACAGAGGATCTGAGAGATCCAAAAGCCCTAACAGCCATCCTATCAGCTGCTGAGCACAGTGTCATGAGGGAACCCAGGACAGATCCTGAGGAGGATCATGGGGTACACATCAGAGGTGGCCTAAGGTTATGTACTTTAAACAGTAGGCCCCACATTGTGTCTCATGCCTTCAGGCAACTTGGGCCGTCCTTTTCAGAGCCAGTTCAGTGCTCAGCAGAATTCTCAGGTTAGGTGGACAGAAACCATAATGCCACAGTGAAGAGCTGCCTGCTGCGAGCCTGAGTCACAGGGGTGAACTTCTCACCAGCAAAAGAGAGTGCTGGCATTTTCCTCGTGGTGTGGAAGAGCACAGCCTTCCCTCAGAGTAGAGTGTGCATGGGCTTGGCCAGTGCAGAAATAGCGCACAAACAAGGTGGTCACGGGTGGGTCCTGAGTTACTTTTTACTAAACTCTCGCATCCCTCAGAGGAAGGGGCAGCTGAGGCAGCAATTCAGTGAAAACCGAAGGCTGCCTGGCCCCACGGGAGCACATGGTTAGGGCTTAAAACTGGACTTTAGCCCAGTCAGAAGCCAAAGAAATGAGGAAATATTAGATTAGCCCTGTTCCCTGTGTAACAGCGCTGTGTTAGGAGCAGGCCGTAGTGTGAACTGCAGTGGTAGTGGCTGCCTCGTGACTTAAGAGGTAGCATGGGCAGTACCAAAGCCTGTTCATACCTATTCTGTGGCAGTGTGTGGCAGTGCCATCGCCATCAACAACAGCTGATCTCAAATCTCAGGTTACTAAACTGGGCCTGCTGAGATGGCCTGAGATGGTCTGAGATGACCTGAGATGGTCTGAGATGACCTGAGATGGCCCAGCAAGTAACGGTACCTGCTGCCGTGCCTGATGACCTTGAGATACTCAGGACCTCTAAGGTGGGAGGAGACCTTGAATTCCTTGAGTTGTCCTCTGACCTGTGCCCACGCCCACATGTACACTACACTACACTACACACACACACACACACACACACACACATATCTGTTTTTTAAGGTACCAAGCTAGGCTCAAAGCAGTAGATTTAGTGTTGGGGAGATCCAGTGTCCTCGGTGGAGTGAGTACAGTAACTAGAAGGAGGTAGGGTATGTTCTGTAGACTGTTTAATAAGGCAGGGAAACATATACAGTTATTCCTGGTGTCTACAAAATAGGACTGAACCAGAACATATTGGTGCTCTGAAATCTTCCTCTGAAGGTCCTGTGCAGACATGAACATTCCGAGGGCTCCTCATGTGGCCTTGTGACCTTGACTGGCAGCAGGCAGTAGTGTCCCAGTTCTCAGATACATTCAGAGATGCAAAGGGCCTCCATGGGGCTCACTGCTCTGAGCCTCAGCACCTGGGGGAGGGGGTGACATTGTTCTGTAAGACTCCTGAAACAGCCATGGCCCGGACTTCTGCCCCTCTCACCCTCCACCCCACCCCCCAAAAAAACAGAGCTGGAGTGTGTCTCCAGGTCTAATAGCCAAGGGGTCCTAATGGTTGTGTTAGGAGGGTGGATACAGAGTTAAAAATGAACCGTTGAGGTAGGTCAGTCACTAGACCTTTACATCCTGTCTGCCTTCATCTTCACAGCAGCTTTGTGAGGAAGATGGTGATCTGTATTATTAGTGTGAGGTCTAATGGGCCTATCATTGTCTCCAGTTCACACAGGAAGTCTAGGGCCCAGCCCTGGTAAGTAACTTTCCAGATGCTGTTGAGCTGGTGAGTAGTGGGGCCAGGATCTGTCTGCAGAGCCTGTAGCCGGGAGAGCGCTGAGCAAAGGTCAGTGCCTGCTCCTCTGTGAGGCTGCTTCACAGAGGCCAAGTGTGATCTGGGCTCAGACCCTTCTAGAATCACCCCCCCCCCCCGCCCCGGTCCTGCTCTATCAGCTGAGGCCAAAATGTCAGATCCCAAATCTCCAGCGCTCCACAGTATCCTAGTCAAGTTGTGTCCCGCCAGTTCACCTGTACCTGCCCTTGTTGCCCCTGAGTTACACCTTCATGCCTCCACCATGCCTCTGAAAGGAGCTGCCCTGGCAGGATTGCCCATGAAGTGAGAAAACCGAAGAACAGTGCTGCTTGTGTGAACTTGGGTCTCCTATCCCCAGCCCCAGAGCCACACTCCCCAGGGTTTCCTGAATCCCTAAATGGGTACACTCAGCATGTTCCTCACCTCCGCCCCACCTGTCCTGGAATGATGAGCTTTAGATCCTGAGACCATAAGCACGCCAAACATTTAGGTAAATAAAATCAAAACACATAGGTAATGTACACTTTTTTTTTCTTTTTGAGACAGTTTCTCACTTCATAGACCAGACTGCCCTTGAACACAGATCTGCCTGTCTCTGTGTACTGTGATTAAAGGTGTGAGCCACTGCCTAGCTTGCCTCCTCATAAGAAACTAGCCTTTATATTCTTGGGTTGTTTGTTTTCCCTGGACTCTCCATTTCCTACCCTTTCACCTCATTGCAGTCTCAATGCTACTGGACCCAATTCTTCCACCAGTTACAGAATCAATGTTCTATGCACAAAGATTCTGGCTTCTCACTCAGATCCGGGCCCTGTGAGTGCTTCCCATGGAGGGAAAGATACTGATCCTTCCTGGCCCACTCTAATGCTGAGGGGCAGAAGGCCATAGCAGGCTCCAGAAAGGACCCTTCTATGGCAGCCTGGCTACTCAGCAAGCCTACCAAGGAAGGGGTTAGGGCACAGGGACAAGAGAGAGACACCTGGCTTTGAAGTAAGTCTGAGAAAGTTATTAAATTTTCACTTTAGAGGTGAAACATTTTATTAAAACACTTTGAAGGGGTTCAGCAACCTTGGACATTAAGGAAGTGCAGATTCAAACCACTTTAAGATACCATCTCACGGGCTGGAGAAATGGCTCAGAGGTTAGGAGCACAGGCTGCACTTTCAGAGGTCCTGAGTGCAATTCCCAGCAACCACATGGTGGCTCACAACCATCTAAAATAAGATCTGCTGCCCTCTTCTGGCCTGAAGGCATATATGCAGGCAGAACATTGTACACATAATAAATAAGTAAATCTTTAAAAAAAAAAAAGAAAAACGATACCATCTCCCATGCCAACAAAGGCACTTATCACAAACACCAAGAACCAGAGCTGGTGTAGAGTTGGGGAACATGTCGATGGGAACTAGTGCAGCCACTCTGGAAATCAATCTGAAGTGGTCCCGAAAACATCCCACTCTGGGCACATACCCAAAGGACTCTTATGTCCTACGACAGGGATAACTGCCCTTGTTCATTCTGCCCTATTCACGGGCCAGGAAATGGAAGTAACTGATGAATGATCAAGGTTTGTACAGATACAGTGTGATATTACTCAGCAGTAAAGAAAAATGAATTTGCAGGGAAATGAATGGAATTGGGGAAAAAATAAGTAAGATAACCCAGACCCAAATGGACAAATGCCATGTGCACAGGAGGATCATAGTGTGATTTGTATGATTTGTATCGCATGGGCTGTGCAAGCAAAGAAGCAAGGCGATGTGTGGTAAAGAAAGGCATATAGTAGAACGTAATTAGAAAAGAAAGTGGGGAGGTAGTGTGGGTGGAAGGTTTAGGCAGGGAAGGAGGCCTGGAGATTAGGGAGGTGCGGGTGCAGGATGGGCAGAGGATTAACTTTCTCCAGTATGAAGAAACCATTTGAAAAGCAAGCCCATGTATGCAGCGTTGACAGAATAGCAAGTGCCATCTGCATGGGATCAAGACCCTCCAAGAGGAAGGGCCAGTGCCTGGTAGCCTAGCTAACAACCCAGGTATGGGAGGAGTAGGCCCATGTGGGGAACATTCCTCAGGGTTAACTTGACCGACTGAGCAATTGCTTTCTGAATACCAGTGCTGAGACTCATAGACAAAGGTGTTACCCAGCCTTGCTCAGAGAAGCCTCTCCAGACAAAGGACAGTAGTGTATAAAGACTCACGGCTGCCCGGGATGCAGAAAATGAGGGAGAGATGTGGTCCCAGCCCTAAGCAAGTCCCGTACCAAACCCTGCTAAAGCTCAGTGAACATTGTAAAAGAGGAAGAGAAGGCAGGGTGAAGGGTCACCAACCACCATTCCCTGAACTCATAAAACCGCCCTAATCATTGGCTCATATCAGCTGTCATTACCTGCATGGGGCCCACCTGAGGCCAGCCTCTAAACTCCTGACTCTGGGAGAGGGAATCACCGTCTTCAGTGGGCAGGGGAGGGAGGGAGGGAGGGAGGGAGTGAGGAAGGGAGGGAGGTGGGATCAGTGTACAAAGCATGCTTATGTGAAATTATAAAAATAAATTTTTAATTTTGTTTAGAGTTGTGAGATTTTCCTCATGGTTTGCAGAAAGAAAGGCAAAGTTGTCATGCCCCACCTTGTCCAGCAAGGAAAAACGCAACACCTGGAGCTCTTCTCACTGCAGTTTATTCCAGGACTTTATTCACTTTCTTTCTCTCTCTTTCCCCTCTTTCCCTCTCCTCTCTCTTTCCTTCTCTCTCCTCCCTCTCTCCTCTGGCAAACCTCTCCCAGCCCTTAAGTAGGCATGGGCTGCCAACCCTGAACTGCCAGGTGGGCACTGCCTATAGGTTCACGCATATGCAGGCAGCTGATAATCATTGTGTGATCATGGCATAGGTCAGGCCTTAGCCATCTCAGGAGTTGATTATACATCTCCATCAGGTGTGACACCACGCAGCTCGCTACACAAAGTGTCTTCACAGTAGAACAATGAGCAGAAAAAAGGGCCAGTATGGTATTAAATAGCAATCCTAATGCTTGATGAATAAACCAGATGGTTTAACGCTGACACCAGTTACATGGTGACCTTGGCTTCAGAACAGATTTATTTGCTAATTAGGAGGCAAGCTGTTGGTTTCACACACGCACAATCGTACCTGGCTTTCACATCAGATTTAATGAAGAAATCTGCCATGACAACTTACCCTGTGGGGCTTCCGTGTCTTTATCTGAAAACCTGAAGCTGGGAAAGAGCAGGGCCAGCTCTCTGTTGGCATCGTCTCTGTCCCGGCTTCCATGCACAGCGTTAAAGGGCATTTCTGTGCCATACTGAGCCCGGAGACTGGGAGCGGGGGTACAATGGGAAAGAAACAATTGCTTCACTCGAAAAGAAATGTTTTGCTCTCTGGTAACAGGACCACCAGCTACCAATCAGCATGAGGGTGCTTGCTCTTTGTGGAGAATCCAAGAACAGCAACCATGCCAGCAGCTGCTGGCCAGGGGCATTACACACAGGACCTGGCTTTTTTTTTTTTTTTTTTTTTAACCATTGCCCAGAGGGAGACTACAGGTCCCACTGTTGGGTGTCTGCCTAGGGCTTGCACCACACCGTGTGTCACGACTAACTTTGATAAGAACTGTAACACTGACAGTGCTGGGTCGGACCCATGTGCTGAGCACAGCTCTACATGCCTGTGTCCTCTGTGATCATGGATGTCCCCACTTTACAGCCTAGGAACTGAAGCCAATTTAGGGACTTGCCCATTAGGTGGTGACCTAAGATCTGAGCCCCCCACTGCTTTACTTAGCCTCAGTTAGATGCCCTTGCCCCTTACGACTGCAAGGGACAGCTCTCGGGCTTTAGCTGTTAGTGAAGTTCTTTCCTGTTGTCTGTCCATGGGCTGTTGCGGGAGCTCCTTCCGCACCTTCAGCCAATAGCCGCTGAGATAGCCCATTGGGGCATGGTCTCTCTCCCTTTAAAAAAGCAGCTCTGGCTTCCAGCTCCACTTCTGGCGACTAGGCTCCCTTCCTGATTGTGCAGAGGGTTTTTGTCTGAGATGGTGATCTGTAAGTTTTTCCCCCCTTAAATAAATAACCATTCTGTTAATCATAATTCCAAACTGGTGTGGGATTGTTTGTGACTTATGCCTTCAATGGGCCTGTGACCTCAAGGCCAGCACCCATGGATTTGGCACTGTGACTCAGTGAGCAAGCTCTAAGCAGGTTTAGGTAGGTGTGCTGAACGGAAGATGACTCCAGATGACCGTGGGAATTAAGTCTATAGTACAGGCCATCCTGCAGCCTTTGACTTGGCAGGCTTGTCTGGATTTCTGAGATCTGTGACTGAGCCAAACTCAGCTGCAGCCTTTAGAAGAGAGGGGGAGGGGCAAACCCTGGTGTGGGTATTCAGCAAAGGCTGGGAGAGTCAGTCAGGGTAGGAAGATGTCAGAGTCTTCCCAGATATATAGAAAGGGCGATCACCCACAATTCTGAACCCAACACCAAATGAAGTGTCAGCTTGACGTGGATGAAGGAACTACAGCTGACGTCACCTTTCAGGGTGTTCCCTCCTGGCCACACTGGGGTCACAAGGCCCCAGGAAGTCTCGCCAAGCAGCGACTACATCCTCGGTGCCCTCGGTCTTGGTGAGGATCAGGAGGTGGCTGGGTCCACTGCACATGTGATGGACTAGCTTCTCAAACGCCTCCTAGGCACAGGGAAGACGAACGGTGACCTGGGGCATGCGTTACTGACAGCTGAAGGAGGCCAGTGAGCCAGGACTCCGCACAGACTGGAAGGGAGGTGTAAGCAGCCTTGTACACCCCTGGACACACAGCCATGTCTGCCCGCTGTAATGGTGATGACCAACCACACCCCAAGGCCTCAGGAAGGTGAGCCAGCTGAGTAGAAGCATGCTAAAAGCATTGTACGCATGGGGATGTAATATATAGGTGTTGGCTCTCCAAAGGTACAGTGCAGATGGGACTTCTCCTTCAACAACAGTATCCTGGGCTTCCTCTGGGGAAGATCTCTCCTCCATTTCATTCATTCCTCATTTCACAACCAGGATGCTTAGCAACCCTCACACCTCTGACTTGGGAGGTGGTGCTATGGCCTAAGAGTGGGCAACCATACTCCCCAAGTAGGCAAAGCAGAAAAGGCTTGTGGGCTAAAGCGGCAGTTGGCAACATCGAGTGGTTTGCCTACTGCCGTGACTCCTGTGGGCCCTAGAACTTTCTTGGCTCCTCTTCTCTCCAAATCCTCTTGCTAAACTTTTTCATTTCCATTCATGAATTCTGGGAGTTCTGGAGCATCCTTGTAATAAAAGTCTTTATTCCATTACTTAACAGTTAAAATTTTCCCTTAGAGCCATTGTACCATATTCTGAGTGCAAATCCGTTACCCACCCACTTGCCATCCATATTCTTGTTCTTCCTCTCGCTCCCCTCCCAGCTCCTATCAACTTATCAGCATAGTGCTGGAAGAGAAAAGAGAGAGTGAGCTGGGCCAACAGGAGCAGATGAGCTGACCTGCCCAGCTCTGTGTTGATAGAACACTTGCATTTCTGCCTCTGTCAGGGTTCTCTCTTCGTTTGATAGGATGTCAAATCCTGCTTCCTGGATCTGCAGAATATACATACAATATATACATATATGCACATAAATATGTATGTGTGTGCGTGCATGTGTGTATTCTGCAAATGTGACTGGAATGCCCACACTTACAGTGATCTTAATGGAAAGATAATAAAGATGGGCAACAATAGAAGCAGTGCAGGTTCTTAGCCCCACTCCCAGCACCTGTCCCTAGATCTAATAGCGTCCTAACCGGGGATAGAGTTTGAGGTGACTCATCAGAAGCCGCCTTTCCTCAGCACAATACAGCGGCCGCTGCCCATCCCTGTGTGGGGGAATCTCCTGCATCTCCTCCTACCTTCATGATGATCTCGTCAGCCTTCCCGTGGGCCACTGCGTCGGGCTTAATGATGCCTAATGTACAGGCCTTCTTCTCTGATGGCACTGAAACGGGGTAGGGGAGGCGCTGTCAGATGCTGAGGCTCTCGGGAGGTCATTTGCAGGAACAGTGTTGTTTCAGTACAGGCTCCATCGATCGCACCGAGTACCAGGTAATAGGCCTAGACTCCAGGCTTCCATCCTCTGGTCTCTAGGCTGAGCCTCAGACTCTAGCAAATGGCACCAATCTGACACCAGGCCACAGCCAGGAACCTCAGCCCGACACAGAGGGACAGAATCTGACTCTCTGAGCTCCGGTCTCAGGACACATAGGGATGGGCATTTCCAAAAGACAGTTCAGAAACTTGGAATGACTGAGTAAGTTGCCTGGAGCTGGGCGAGCACAGGAGCAAAGGCGACACCTTTATGCCTCCCTCACCCCTTCTTGTGGGTCTCAGATTTAACTGCTATCTGTTTCTCTTCTCACTCTCTGGACTCTTTTACTTCTGCAAAATTATTTTATATGTATGGATCTCTTGGCTTCATGTATGTTTGTACACCATGGGCATACCATACCCACTGAGGCCAGACAATGGCATTGGATCTGCTGGGACTGGAGTTGCAGACGGTTATTAGCTTCCATGTGGGAATCAAAGCTGAGTCCTCTGGAAGAGCAGCCAGTGCTCTTAGCCACCCAGCCTCTCTCCACCCCCTTCTGCTTTTTGCCTTCCTTGCCATGTGGTAGAAATGGTTATCCCAGGCCCTGCATGAATTTGCGCTTCTCCACTCCAGCACACGCTACTACATTGTAGCTTCAGACATCTCTGTCTCACGTCAGATGGATCGGCTTGAGCTTCCTTACTTCGTTTTGGCTTCAGCTTTATTTTGGCTCTGCTGGGGATCAACCCACTTAGGATGTTCGGGGACCACTTAGGTCCTAGTTCTGAGAAACTGTACGGAAAGCTTTGTCTGGTCCAAGAGCCCATCTCTATTGGACTCCTGGTTACATGAAGTTGGCCCTGAGAAGTTATCTGCATTTTCTCCAGAATCAGCATTTCCCACAATCTATTTCCTGCCTCTCAACTTTTGTGTCTGTTGTGCCTGTATCTGGGGAGGGTTTCTACTGGGACTCTCTGTGAAGCCTATACTAAACAGGTATATGCTATCCATTGGATAAATGCTTCCTAAGGGTTCAGATGCTAAAGGCTTGGTCCCCAGCCTGTGGCCCTGTTGGGAAGTGGTTAAACCTTTGAAAGATGCGACCTATTGACAGGTGGCCAGACCAGCTCCTTCCCCTCGCTTGCCTCTTCATGGTGAGATACCTGCTCCCTCAAATACCCCTGCCCTGTGCTGCTTTACCATGGGCCCCAAAGCATCAGGACCAGTTATTATTCACTGAAAGCTCCAAAACTCTGAGCCCAAATAGACACCTTGCTATATAAGATATTCCAAGGTATTTCACTTGGTGACAGAAACGCTGACTTGCACAGTATACACCACCATAAGCAACCACCTGTTCATCTTTCTGTGGTTCCCATTTCTGATCGACTGCAAACACTTGACATTAAAGCACTCTTAGGATTGATTCTGTGATGAATTGGTGGGCTCATGAGATCCCTAAAGCATAGAGGGAGGGGAGATGAGGCCCTTGTAGGTCTCTTCTAGCTTCAGCTCAAAGGGAAAGTCCAGTGAAGAGGCCAGAGAATAGAGAGATGTTATCTCAGAAGCCAGAGGGTAAGGACTTGAGCTGTAGCTCAGAGGGACTGGCCTAGCATGCATGAGGGCCTAGGTTCCATCTCCAGATACCCCCCCACACACACACACACACACGGTGGTGGCGGGGGCATTGAAGGGCAAGGCACATGAACACCATGAATATCATCATTCTGCGCAGGAAAAGACTGTGTCCTTTGGCAGCAGGAAGGTCACTGTGTCTCTCAGGAGTGCCCTTTCAGGAGCAGTGGGTTCAGAGCCCGGCCACAGCGCCTCAGGAGTGAAGCTGAGGATTGGCCCCAAGAAGTGGACAAAGTTCACAAATCTTAGCCGAGGAAGGAGTGGCTGAAGGAGAGGGAGTTTCAGGTGGTGTTCTGGGACAGAGGCTTGACAGGAGGATATAGCAGAGCGGGGAAGAGGCCCTAACACAGAGGGGATATTTCCTGTGAGCGCCAGTTCACAGGTTGTCTTTCCCATGACGTCCTGGCTTTGCTAGCCACGCCTCTTGCTTTGTCAGGGTCCAATCTCAACAGTCCTCACTGTGCATCCGGGGGAAACAGCCATGAATCTCATGGGATGATGACTTCAACGCTTCCTACTAACAGCTGCATCCAGTGCTGGCTCCCTGGCACCCCGTCCCGGTTCCCTGGCACCCTGACCCCAGTCCCGGTTCTCTGGTGCACCCAGTACCGGCTCTCTGGTACTTATCCCCAGTCCCTGTTCCCTGGCACCCCGTCCTGGTTCTCTGGCATCCCATCCTGGTTGCCTGGCACCCTGTCCCGATTCCCTGGCACCCCGTACTGGCTCTTTAGCACCCTATCAACAGTCCCTGTTCCCTGGCATCCCTTTCCGGTCCCTTGTCATCCAGTCCCAGTTCCCTGGCACCCCGTCCTGGTTCCCTGGCATCCAGTCCCGGTTCCCTGGCATCTTGGCTCTCACACAAGACATCTTCCCAGCAGCAGCCTGTCTAACTCTCTGATCCTCACACACAGCCAGGCCAGGCTACTCTTCTAGGAAGGCTCTGGAAGAGCCTGAAGGCGGTGCATATAAAACCTGTGTAGCTAGAGAAAGAGGAAGAGAGGGGGTGGGGCTGTGAGCAGAGGAAGAAAGCCTGTGGAGACGGGAGGGCTTGTGACGTTTCAGAGAGGCAGAAAGTGAAATTTGAACTCCCCAGATCAGACAGAATTCATTGCTTCTCTTCTTCGTCATTACTGAAGTTTCTAGGAAGACCATTTCCCGATGTCCAAGGATCACCAGTGAAGTTATATTTGAGTATGTCATCAGACAGCTGTCAAATGGACTCGTGATGGCATCAAAAGGCCAAAGGGAGATCCCATTTGTTTGAAGCTAAGTACTGAAGACAAAATGCTCATGGCCAGCTTCCCGGAGCTGAGATGCCCAGTAGCCTGGTGATTCACTTGAAGGTGCACATCAAATCAGAACCCACCTTGCTCTTCTGCTCTGCACTCACCTATGCCTATGTCAACATCTTCACCGCCATCACCGCCATCCTTTTCTCGGGGAGGACACTTGGCTGCACCAGAAAGAGCCTCGTCAGTAACCTAGGATAAATGAGTCACGAATAGAAAGGATTTAGCCAATGAAAATCGTTAGGAAGACTTTCAACGTCTAAAGAAACAGTATCAAAATGCAGAGGTTCAAAATGCAGAGGTCAGCCTTGGGGAGGAGGACAAGGTCACCAGGGTCTGGGTAACGAGGGCCTTTCTAGTGGCTGGATGATGGGGGAACCCTTGCTGGTCTTGAGCCTTCGGAGTTTGCCTCTTAACCAAGCACAAGGAGAGACCAGGAAATGATAAAGAATGGCAGCTGGTATTCAGATACAAGGGATGAGCCACCCGGTGCAGAGAAATAAAGGGACTCACCATTTCCCCAGAGGCAGCTTGTGAAAACTGAGTGTGTGATCTTCCTTCGCAGGGAAGCAAGGCCCTTTAGAATACAGGAAGTACAGCCTGGGTCTGTGCATTCTAGAAAAGGGACTGCGCTCTCTGGAACTTAGCATGAAAGCTTGGGCGTGAACACCCAACAGTGTTCTCCCAGCAGGTGCACACGGTGCCTGGAAACCCCTCCGTAAACCTATGGCATATGGATTGTTTAAAGATTGCCTGCTCTCGGTGAAGATGATGCGGTCTGTCTGATATTAGAAATAGTTTCTCAAAGCCGTAAGTTATGCTGACCCCGTGTCCCCCCGCAATGACAGCTAGGTTTCTGAATTAAGAAAATGACCTGTGTGCTCACAGCTAAATCATTTAGGGATTCAAGCGTGGGGTCTCCAGGAGAGGCATCAGCATGAGGCTGGGGGAAGATGCTCCTGTCCATTTGCTGTAGTTTGGGTGTTCCCCCAAAGTCCATGCATTAAACTCATGTCCCTTAGTTTGGCAAGATGGTGGAACCTAAAGAGGTGGGGCCATAAGGTCAGTAGGGGAGTGTACTTGAAGGAGATTGGGAGAGGAGGCTATTCTTTCCAGCCTCCCTGAGAGGAACAGCCTGCACCTCATGCTGCCTCCACACTGGCTCAGCATCCACAGACCCAACTGACTATGAACCGAAGTCTAAGCTGGGAGCCAAAATGAACTCTTCCATTTAAGAATCGACTGTCTCGAGTGTGGTGTGGTGGGCTACATTACTACTCAGCTCTGCAAGCTTGTCTCCCTCCCTGCAGCCATGACTAAGAGTTTAGTTGTGAGGGAAAGGGAAACGGACGAGAGAAGGTCCAGGGTCTCTGGAAAGGCAGAAACTTCAGAACATGTATTCTTTTGAGACCTGGGTGAAGAACAGGCCCAGTGTAGGACGTGAAGGCTTCCTCGTGGGGGAAGGGGCTATGTCAGGCCACTTGTGAGCCTGCCAGTCGGACAAGTGACCTCCGCTTACCACATTCCGTTCCCTGCCTTCAGCCAGAACCTTCTTCTCCACCTCCAGCTGGTGTAAGATGGTCTTCCGAAGCAGGGGAGCATTGGCCCCCTTCACCACAGCCACCAGCTCTCCTCCCTGGAAGGTGGGACAGACCACATGAAACCCTCTTCACGGCTGGTCACTGATGTCAGGAGACAAGGACGGTGAAAGCTATGCCTAAGGTCAAAGTTCACCAACCCCAGGCCCACACCCTCCACTCTCATTCCTCCAGCCCCTTCCTGGAACCCATCCCACTATGAGGCCCTCAATTTGGCCCCCGTTTCTTAAACAATTTCTCTCTGATCTCTACTTCTCCCTGACCCCCATCTGTCGAAGCTTCCTTCGGGGCAACTGGCAGTTAGTTAAGGGAGGAACAAGTCACAGAAAATTGTGTACTAAGTGTGACTTGCATGTAGCTCATTGACAGTCATTTATTGAGTACTTACTATATACCAAGCACTCAGACGGAGGCAAAGAATACCAGCACTAATCTGAGAGACACAGAAGACCTGCCTCGGTGGAAGCACAGGGCAGTAGTCGCTCCAAACACACAGCTAGGATGTAACACCTGCTTTAACAGGGGACTTCTCGCTTGAAGCTCGCCGACAGGGAAGTGGAAGCGTGACTTCCCAGTCCCGGCTGTGGCAGTCAGGGAGGACTTCATAGTGCCTGAGTTTTCCGCTTTCATTTTCTCCACCTATGTCACTGAGACACAGATCTGAGGAGCAGTTCCTGTAAGACGGCCCTGCTTCCATTTCTCTCCATCCCCTGGCGGGCCACCATGAGTTGGTTGTGGATTATGTTTTAACCACCATTGGCCCAACCAATCTAATAACTTCAGTAAGGACTGCCTCCTGTGACAGCTCTAACGGCCAGGGTGGCTGTGTGGGCGTGGCCATCTCCTTCCCACTGAGTGGTTCTTTCTCCCCACAACCCCAGCCATGCAGAAGCTGGGTCTCACTACCAAACGACATAGAGCAAGTGACATTTTAGCCTAAGTTTCTAACATGGGGCTAGGAAGATGGCTCAGCAGGTAAAGATGCTTCCCGCTGAGGACACTGAGCTGAGTTCAATGTCCAGGACCCACATGGTGGAAGGAGAGAACCAACTGTCATCTGACCTTCACGTGAGTGCTGTGGCATGTGCGTGTGTGTGTGCGTGCATGTGCCACACACACACGCTCGCGCACACACACCAATAAATAGAAATGTAGCAATAATTAAAACAAGTTCCTAATATGTACCACTCAAGGTGCCAAGGCTAAGAACTGAACTGAGCAACCCAGACTGGTTGCCAGGAGACCTAGGAGAGCAGACCCTGGTTTCCCTGACTACCACGAGGGGGCGGGGCTGAGTCTGTGCCGGCCTATCCACCAGTTGTCTCCTGAGTCTGGCAGGGAGCCTCAACCTGGAAAGCCAAGGATGCAACAGTAAGTAGGTTCTAAGGGGCATTGGGCTGGCACATCCAAAGACAACCACGTCACTTGTCACTACAGAACCTTTGGGTTCCCGGGAGACTCCCTCGCCTTTTCTTTCACTTCACACTGTAGGTATCAAGGCAGATCCACAGCTTCTCTATAGCTTATCATTTCCTCTAAAAGAAGGAATTCTCAAAACTGCTCTGAGAGTAGCGTGTCTGACTGTGTGCATTGCAGGATGTGTGTGCTTTGCCATGCACAGTCCCCTAAGAAGGCTGTCCAGCCACCAGTGGCCACCATGGAACTGTGTCTTTTGTCTCCTGTTGCACAGGGCCCTCAAGAATGAACACACCTGTGCATGCCCATGTCTCAGGGAAGTTCTGCATGGACTTAGTGAATTCGTCTAGAGGGTGTGTCAGGGACAGCATCACCCCTTAGCATGGCTGGGGCTTCACGGTGGCTGGTGGCTCCGGAGAACTGATACTTCTGGTCTGAATACCAGATTTGTATTCAACGAAGTGTTGTGGGCGGTTTGTTTGTATTGTTGCTCCGAGACCTCCAATGGAGTAAAGCCTTGATTCACAGGGTAGAGTCCATGTTCAGCTGACTGGGAATAAACCATAGAATTTTTCTGGCCAACCACATGAAGACAGAGAGACACAAAGAGGAATAAGGAGGGGCTTGGAAAGATTCACGGGTCTTTTTGACCTGGGAAGGTGGAGAGGAGTGCAGCTGATCTTTTTCCCATCACTCTGTGCACCGATCAGGTTTATTCCCTAATATCTGACCCCTGAGCTTTATTTATTAATAAAACAATAAAAGTCACTATAACAGTTCCGCTCCTGCAGAGATACTTACTGCATAGAACAGAAAGGTTGGCTCGCACTTCCCTCGGTATTTTTCCAGAACATCGAGACAGTCTGCCTCTGCCTGAAGAAAGCAAGCTGTCAGCAGGTCCCCTAGGTGCCGCCAGTGCAGAGTCACAGCAACGCCATGCCCTCCTGATCCACCTCCCGAATGAAGCCCAGCTTGCTGACTTGTCAACGTACTTGTGGCAGCTAGTTATGTCAGTGACATTACCTTGAGGAGTCCAGTGGGAGGGAGATAAGCTTCTCTGACTCCCCCACCTATCTACTCGACTGGTCCAGGGAGCCCCACCATCTGACATCCTCCTATGGCTGTCACTGGCAGTGACAGGTCTGAAGGTCCTCAGGCATCCCCTGACCACCTATGGCCCTTGAAGTCTGACCTCCTGAGAAATGAGTGTAAGGAAGACCCATTGTCTCCTGTTGTCTTTAGTGTCTGCAGACCTGGCAAGGCAACACTGTGCAGCGGGTCAGCAGGGTCTCTTTCACACCTCTATGGAATTCCTGTTTCTGTGCTTTAAGCGAACATTTGCTAAAAGAGCCCCTTTACGACATTGAGGATAAAAGTCTTGACACGCTGGGCTCTGAAAGCGACATTTTGTCCAACAGTGCTCACTAGCCAAGACGGATATGCAGATACATCTTAGTGACATGTGCTTCTTCCCTGTGGTGAGGCCGGTGCCTTTATGTCTACATAGGCTACAGGACACAGTGACAGCTACAGGACACAGTGACAGCTACAGGACACAGTGACAACCACAGGACACAGTGACAGCCACAGCACACAGTGACAGCCACAGGACACAGTGACAGCCACAGGACACAGTGACAGCTACAGCACACAGTGACAGCTACAGCACACAGTGACAACCACAGGACACAGTGACAGCCACAGGACACAGTGACAGTTACAGGACACAGTGGCAGCCGGTGTCTTTCTATTTGCAAAGGGTGACTTGTGCTTCTTGCTCCTTGCTTCGTCCATGTTTAATTGGTTTACACTGTCATGTGACTTCTTGCTAAGAAGGAATCTTACCAAAGCAAAATGGAGAAGGTCCAAACCAGCCTCGATCCTCATCTTCTGGAAGAGACTAACCACAGGTTTGCAGGGGCCACACCAGCCCTGGTAGACGTCCACAACTGCAGGAACCGAGGAGAGACGATGTTCCGCAGACAGCCACGTCCTTGCAGACAGTCTGCTCTCGCACCTCCACCCCCTGTAGTGGATGTGCTTGCTGGACAGACGTCTACTTAGCAGACTGGGACCGAGCATAGAACAAAACCATCCCTCACTATAACGTGGCATTCTGGATCTGAAATATTTCTAAAGTAGCTTGGTGTGGTGGCTCACAACTGTGATTGCAACACTTGGGAGGTGGGGGAGGGAAGAGGAGATATTCAAGGTCATCCTCAACTACACACGAGTTTGTTTTACACGTGAGCCTGTCTTAAATGGGGGGGAGGTAGGAAGAGACCGAGTGAGTACAGATAGAGGTAGAAACATGTTTTAAGGTGATCCCTTTGTCTTGGGGGAATCAGGCATGGGCCAGAGTGTTACTCAGTGGATATCGGAAGGGAACACAAATTACCCCAAAAGTTGGAGGTCACTACAGGTGACTGACAGGCAGCATGCAGCTGACTCTCGTCCAATGATGGAAAACCTGAATTTCGATTATCAATTAGAAAACCTAGGAATAGAGATAAAAAAGACACAGGGACGCCTGGAGGGAAGGGGGCTTGAGCCTCTTTGGCATCTATTCTAAGAGCAAGGCTCGGGGCTTCTTTGAGAAGAAGACCTTGATAACTGACAGATGTTTAGATTCCAACGCACCATAGGGAAAACTGCACTTGGCTGAAGTAAGGAAAATGTCTCTGAAGACTGAGGATACGGTAAACAGCTCTACTGGGGAAGGCAAGATCAAGTTCCAAAGGAAAAGAAATGGGGCCCAAAGTGTCTGTACCGATGCCTCCAAGGTCAGCTTCCACCAGCTTCTGTCTCATTGACACCGTCTACAAGCACCTCATCCTCTTTCCTCCTTGGCTCTGGGAGAGGTGGTGTTCACATGAGTGTAGGGGCAGAGGGTGGGGACACTAGCAGGGAGGAGCACGAAGATTTCGCTCTGACAGACGGAAAGCAAAACAGAGAATGCTTGGAAGACGCCTAATTCTGTATGAATCTGAAGGCGGATGAGAAAGGGCAGCAGTAGGTGAGGCTTCTTGTGTGGATGGCTTTAGAAACAAGTTTCTACTGGTGCCAGAAAGATGGATTCTCTCTCTCTGACCCACTAACCCCGGCCGTGTGTGTGTGTGTGTGTGTGTGTGTGTGTGTGTGTGTGTTCCTCTAACCCGCCCAGTGAGAGAAGGTCTCAGAGGAGCCTTCCACCATCAAACTACTGAGAGTAGGTCTGGCATAGTCAGTGCTCAGGAAATGTTAGCCATGGTCATATGAGGGCTTAGCAGGGCAGCCAGCACATGGCGGAATTTCCAAAAGATTAGGGAATGCTAGTTCCTTCACTGTTGGCTAAAAAAAAAAAAGTAATGTTTTGCTTCACCCCGAGGCTGCTTTTAGCTGCCCTGACCAGAAACATGGGTACAACAGTTAAGTCTTGGCACCATCAAAAAGGCTTCATAATCTCCCCAACTCACCCTGGATCAATGGGCCTAGCATTGTTCAATATCCATTTGGCCCCAGGCTTGGACAAATCTGCTACAGATGCCAGATGGAAAAGCTAACAGTGCTGTGTTAGAGTCTGGGGTGACAGACAGGGGATGGCAAACTGGAAGTGTGGCGGGGAGCCTGACAGAGCCCTAGAGGCTCCCATGAGGAGGAGAGTGGAGATCAGCAAAGATTGCACAGAGGCAGGCTACTTTTGAGCTGGGCCCTGGAGTGAGAACTGTGGTTGTCCTCGGGGTAGAGGAACATGGAGAGAATGAAGATGTGGGAAAAACCATGGCGTGCTCAGGAAAGATGTCTCAGTTTAGGACACATCTCGGGAAATAGTAAAGAAAGATGTGGAGTTTTTGAGAGAGGGAACATTCTGGAATGCGGAACGGTTATGGGGATAAACAGAGGCGTTGTAGAGCTGAGAGTAACAGAATGCAGAGATACCTAGAGAAGAGGAAGTGTTGAAGGAGCTGCAGGCTGCGTTCCTGCCACCCCAGCTCCCGGCTGCCTGGCTAGCTTATGCCCCGAAATAATTACACGAAAACTGTATTCTTTTAAACACTGCCTGGCCCATTAGTTTCAGTCTCTTAACCCATTTCTATTAATGTGTGTAGCACCCCAAGGTGCACTTACCAGGAAGATTCTAGCCTATGTCCATCCTGGGTCGGAGCTTCATCGCGTCTGCCTCAGAGAGCAGCTGCCTGGCATCTGAGCTCACTTCCTCTTCCTCCCAACTATGTTTATTCCACCCACCTATGTTCTGACCCATCAGGTCCAAGCAGATTCTTTATTAATTAACCAATGACCTTCCTCCGTCAAGGAAGGAGTAATAGCTGGAGAGATGGGCACTTCAAAGACTCCATTGTGTATACCATTATGTCAGCTCCAGCCCTTGAGAGTGTGTTGGGTCTCATGGTAGGTTCTAATAAGCACAAGAAAGTATAGATATGACTTTTAAGATTAAGTTGACGAAAGGCCAACTTGCAGCTGTGTCCCCTTAGTGCCCCAACTCTGGAGGAAGCAAGTTACCATGACACGAGTAGCCTCATGCAGAAACCGATGGCCAGAAATTGTCTCTGGCCAACAGCCAGTGAGGACATGAACCCTGCTGACTGCCACTGAGTGAGCCTGGGCCACCAGCAGCCATGTCGAGCTTGGAAGCGAGTCTGCTCCAAAGTAAAAAACCCATCTGTGACATGCAAGCTGAGCCCTGGGAAAGCATCTGGGGCCAGATGTACCCAGCTGGATTGGACATAACCCTGACCTGCTGGAGGGCAATCCGTGTTTAAGATGCTGTTGTGTGGGTAAACTGTTACCCAGCAATGGGTAGCTGATACAAAGAAGATCGGTGTGGACAATGGTTGTGCAGTCCCTGGTTATTTCCAAATCTCTGCGATGCTTCATTTTTTCTCCATCCTGGGAGTTCCAGGATGGAGACCCCCATTCTCCTTCCAAAACATTCTCCTTTTGTGCCTCAGGTCATTAAAACTTCCTGTGACTGTCCACCAAGCTGAGCACAGCAATCAGCTCTAAACCAAGAGAGCCCTCTCACCTGACAGTACTGCCTCATTTACTGGACTGGATTCACTGATGTCCAACTAAATGAAATACAACAGAACCCCTCTTCCTCAGGGGTATGTTCCAAGGCACTGTGGTTCAATGTTTATGTGTTGCTTTTATTGATTGATGAGTAAAGCTGTTTTGGCCAATGGCTTAGCAGAGTAAAGCCAGATGGGAAATCCGAATAGAGACATAGAGAGTAGGCAGAATCAGGCAGCTGCCAGCCAGCCACCATAAGAAGCCTGAGCTAATAGGCCAAAGAGCATGGAGTTAATATTAAGCCCCAGAGTGAGTATGTTATAAACAGCTTCAGGAACATGAGGGCAGAAAAAACTCGGTCCAGGGGGCCAGCGGGACAGAGAATATTTGTAGCAATAGAGAACAGAAGCTGGATAGGACAAAGCTGATATAAGCACTTGGGGACAGAGACCGTATGATAACCAGCTTCTAAGAGGACAATGAACAAGGGGTAGACACCATGTGGATACACTGGACCGAAGAATGGCTGGTGTCCCAGAGGGGAGAGCATGAAATTTTAGCACTTCTCAGAACAGTGTGGAATTTTAAAATTATGAACTTATATTTTGGAATTTTTCCATAGGACTATGGTAGGATGCAGGTAACTGGGCCAGAGGAGAGTGGAACCATACATAAGGCAGGGCTACTGTGCACGCAGACACACAGAAGTGCCTGGCTCTTTTTCTGTTTGTTTATACATTCTGAAACAGCCACAGGCAGCCCAAGCTAGCCTCAGACTTGCCATGAACCTTGAACTTGGATCATTTTGTGTCCAGCTCCCAAATGCTGGGATTACAGGTGTGTGCCACCATACCTGGCTTACGCAGTACTGGGGATTGAGACACAGGCTTAAAAGAAAATACCACACTCATCGTAACCCCTTCTTCACATGCGTTACTGAATGATTTTCAAGGGAATGGATCAGGGGACAGGGTTTCATTTTGAATCACCAGTCAGTCCTTTGGAGCCGAGCATTTCCTCCCAAAGCTCCTGGGTGTTGATGTTGACCTGCAGCCAGAAGGATCAAAAGCAGCCTCAGTAAGGGCAGAGATGGGAAGCCACTTCCTTTTCCCCGTTGCCCTCTGTTGGAGAATATGGTTGTTACCAGGCCAAGATGGTAACACCTTTGTTTCTCCTGCAGAATGTTACTTTAACAGTGTAAAGATGTGCTACATTTGTTTATGCTGCATTTGTTTAACAATGTGTGTTTAATTATGTTAAGATGTGTTGTATCTGTTTCTTCTTCCTGCCTAAGGTACCTGGTTGGTCTAATAAAGAGCTGAACGGTCAATAGCTGGGCAGAGAAAGGATATTCAGGCTGGTGGGCAGAAAGAATAAATAGGAGGCGAAATCTAGGCTCGAAAGGAAAAGAAGGAGCTAAAAAGGAGAGAGCAAAGGATACATTCAGGATAAGAAGCCAGGCAGACACCAGTCAGACATAAAGCAGTGAAAGTATGATATACAGAAGTAAGAAAGGTAACACATGTCCTGAGGCAAATGATAGCTAAGGAGGAGCAGGTTAATTTAGGTTGAAAGAGCTAACCAGAAAGGGCCTAAGCTAGGCTGAACATTCAAAACTGTGTCATAATCTTGGAGCTGGTTGGCGGCCCAAAGGACAAAGCCGGGGACAGCTCTTTCTCTGCAGTGTTCCCCGATGCAGTTCTGTCTTTTCTTCACCCTCTCCCTTTTTTTCTTCCCTCTCCCCTTATACTCCAGGAAAAAGTCGACCTAAAAACAATGTGTGCCATTTTCAGACATTAAAAGAGTTGCAGGTGATTTGTCCAGGAGTCGTGGAGAAAGCTGTCCCGTGTTGCTAACCTGCACACGAGCTTCCCTTTGTGGTTTATGTTCACTCAGTGTCAGGAATTACTAGTTTGTTGTCTTCCATTCACATCTTTCATATTTATAAGGAGTTCTGGAATATGTTAGGTATGAAATCCAAGGGAAATTAATATTATTACCCCCTCCACTCTTTCAAAATACAATCAAAACATCTTCATTTTAAAACATTTCCAAAAAATACAAAAAATGGCCGGGCGATGGTGGCACACGCCTTTAATCCCAGCACTCGGGAGGCAGAGGCAGGCGGATCTCTGTGAGTTCGAGGCCAGCCTGGTCTACAAGAGCTAGTTCCAGGACAGGCTCCAAAGCCACAGAGAAACCCTGTCTCGAAAAAACAAAAAAAATTACAAAAAAATAACATGTACTT